GTAAACATTATCCCTACTAAACACTGTCAGCATTGTCATTACGAGTATGTTAGCATGGTGATGTTAGCATAAGCATTTAACTCAAAGAACAAATACGCCTCCCAGAGCTGCTAGCATGGCTGCAGACTGTTGGGGCTTTATTGTAAGTGCAGGCGCCACAATGAATGTAAAGTGGAAGATGAACTGTGTGGGTGTCTCTAACCGTACCTGCTAATTTTGTTCATGTATGACCAGCAAGGCAAATTGCAAATGGCTCGAAAAAGTGGAATATGGATCGGAGGGTGAGGTGATTAATATGCATGCTCTCAGCCAATCACATCACTGGTCTCATCGCTCTGAAACAGCTGTGTCAATCACAGGGAGATATAATAAAAGGATACAAACAACATACTCAATGTCGTATCGTAACCATTTCAGCATCCAAAATCCTCTCTGACGTGAAGTTGAAGTGCACTGTATTATCTCAAGGATTGCAGTAGTTCAGCGTATTGGAACCATTTCAATACTTACCAGCCAAAGGTACGAACAAAACACTTTGTTATGTTAATCTAAATGCTACAGCAAAAAGGCATCTGCGTTAGTATTTTGATGAAATCTGGTTTGGAGCATTTTTTAAATGATACAACCTATTGTCTTTCAGGGTAAGATGCTCGCCATTAACATTATTTCAGTAAAGAGGAGAAGGCAACACTAGCAGAAGAGCAGACCCTTGCATGTATGAAAACAAAATATGTTACAACCTCTCTTCCAATTTTAGCCGTGCATGCTGAGAAGAAAACAATAAGAGTGCACAGAGACCACTTAAGAGACAAGAACAACCTTTTTCAATAATGCATTCGTAACGCAAATCAAGAGGAGCTCCTTCCAAGTTTTGCATTTGACTTCAAAAGAACGGCCCTAATTTCATTAGTGGTCTTTACGGGATCTGAGTTGGTGCCAGGTGACTGAACCACTCACTCACAGTGATAAGGTACGTCTTTCTGGATCAATGATTTTCCATCATTCGTCTTGTTTTCGATCTTGGATATACATCTTTTGGTTCACGGTAGGAATATTAATTTAGAGCAAATGGCCCACAGTATCTGCCTCCAATCTTTACCATGATGGTAAACCTTGTTCTACATTATGTTACTCAATTAATAATGTGAGATTAAGTGTGTGATCTACATCCTAGAGTTCATGCAATGATTTGAATCACATAGCTTTGTATGTTCCTACAATAAACTATAATAAACTAATTAAATGTAACTATGTGGAATGTGGGGCATTAAGGTGTATATTCTACTCTTCTGAGTTGTCTATTGAGATACTGCAGATTAACACTGGTGCACCGTAGCTGCTTAACTACAATCCATGATAATTCAAAGCCGTCCAGGGTATAACTGCCAAACAAAACATTAATCTAAATAATCCTTGTATTTGTGTGTTTCTTTAATTACAGTGCCTCTATGTTGAATTGGGCTCAATCTAAACAAGAGACACATTATAAATAGTGTCACAAAATTAACAACATAGACAGTAACTTAAAGAGATAGGACACAAATGTGGTAAACCCCCCGAACTGTACACTGATAATCAATAATAACAATTCTGTAAAAACACTTTCACTATATCCTGCTCTCCACCAACTAATCCGTCATGGATAGTTTTGACACCAGGAAGATGTGTGTAGAGATTGGCGTTTGTTCATCGTGTCCAACACCGTGTGACAGTTGGAAGATCCACACTTTTACTTTGAGAAAGTGGCCAGTGTTTTACATGCCGCAGCTCTCGGATTATTGCCAGGCAATGTCTAGTGTGGCTGGTATCTTTAAAATCGTGATTCGAAAAATTGCTTCTAATTTTTTGCTGATGTGTATCACCAACATCATCTCGTAGCTAAACATAGTACCCCTCCTGATGCTGTGTTTCCTTGCTGCCTCTAAGTCCCTGTCTTGGGCTTCCCAAAGCTTCTATGGTGCCTTTGAGCGCCCTTTGTAGCATCTTCCACATTTTCCCCAACCAATTAATCCTGGATTAAGGCTTTAAGAGAGTGTATTTTGACTGTGAGAAGCCTGTGAATATCCTGGAGGAATGAATGGTTTTCAAATAACAGAAGAAATCAATAAACACATGTCTTTGCATGCTTCCACGGTTATGATGTAATCAGCAACAATGTAGGGGACAGACTCACAGTATGGGTCAGGTAAATGGGTGGTGGTAGTGGAATCTGATGAGGCTGGCAGGTGAGCCTGGAGTCTTTGCCTCGCATCCCACCTTTTACACTTCATGCTGCCTTCGCAGTAATATTTTTTTTTCCATTTATGAAGGTCATATCGACCATCATTCCACTATGATGGGATTTCAGTATAACAGCAGCAGCTCGAGGTGTAGGCTAATTGAGCTAAATGGAAAGTGTGACGATGTTTGAGCCCCACGAGGGGCCTTCATTCTGGGCCACATCTCCAAGGTGTGCAGGAAAGGACAGCAGCCACCCGCTCCCATTCTTAGAGTATCAACAGTGTTGTCATGCTCCACTAAGGTCACTGTAACGACCTTAATGCAGATGAAAAAAATAACAGGTTCACCGGGGCTTCGCTTTTTTTAGATGCTTTGTGTAGACCATAATTAATAGAACTCCCTAAATGTTGTGTTCATATATTCTAATGCCAACAAATAAATGGTGACATTTTTGTAAACAATAGACAATTGATTAAGCCGATGATCCTATTTATGTTTTCATTTAGACCAGCTGTGTTTCATCAAGGGCCCCATAGTGTGAAATAATGAAATATTTCATTATTTCTCATAGTGGAAATAATGAAATATGCCAACAGACAGCTAATCCGTCTCAAGAGAAGCAAGAAATTAAGCATTTGGTCCCTGCTGTGTGCTTTCAGTTTCTAAAAGGGTGGGGTCAGCATATCTTAAGAGCCAAACATTTCACAGGGAATCATGACTCGGTGAAGGAGCTGATCAAAAGTGAAGATGGAATAAGTGCAGGCTGTGCATTGGTAAACACAACCCATCAAAAAACACCTGACACACCTGACCTGAAGTCAGAAGGTAAAAAGTTACAAAGTGTTTTGCTTGTAAAACATTAAGATTAAAACTGAAAGGTAAGTTGGGATGTTGCATCAACAACAAAGCATTTATTTTGGCTCAATTGCAACTAATAGAAAGTTAACAGCAGGGCATGAAAAGTCACAGCCTTTTCTCCGTGCAGTCCCACACACATTAAATCAAAAACATGACGACATTTATGAAAAAACAATCATGGGCCTCCCACTTGTTGGCGCTATGTATGATTCAGCTACAGACAGGACGAGCACAAGCAGGGACCCGAGACTGACGTAAAATCACCATTTCATCTGTCCCCCGAGCACTGCCACTTTAAGTGGTTTGCCGTCGGATCCTATAAATGAACAGGTGCTCTAATGGTCTTTGTTTGTTGTCATCTCCACTTCAGCAGCAATGGAATCCCTTCGAGTAACAAGCTTCAAACGCAGCTCCAGCAACTTTAATAGCAGGTTAGATGATGCACACAGACTTCTCAACGATGCAGCTGCACTAAAGACATTGCAGGGATGCACACACACACACACACACACACACACACACACACACACACACACTTGATTTAAAAGGGAAGTAATGGACATTAATCACTTGCTCGTACTCCTCCGCTCTCGCTTATAAACACTCAGTCCGTTTACTGAATCGAGTCATGTCTCACCTTCATTCATGTCAATACAATTGATTTTTGAGACAACTCAAGAAGTACAAGAAATAAAGAGAAATGCATCAAACAAATCTGCGAGGGACTCACTGAGTGAGGGACTGACTGACTGACTAATCCAATGTGCAGAATGAATTTATGTTACCGAAGAACATAGGAGACCTATCAACAAAGACACTAATCTACACCAAGTAAGCAGGACTTCCTTAGTTCTTTCTATACAACACAGCAATACAAGCCTCAGTCACCATAGAGAAGAATCAATGCTTCTCTGCCACTGTGTCAACAATGAATAAAAAAACAATGATGTACTGAAACAAAACAATACAAATTGAGAATAAGGGAAGTAGAACTGAAGTGGAGGCCACAGCATTAGAAGCAAAACTGGTTATTTTGTGTCATTTTATACTACTGGTTTACGTGATGGAAGAGAAGTGGGCTCATGCACATGGTGTTTTTGCAACTGATTTCAATCAAATCCTTCAAACCTTTATGGTCCCAAGACCAGTTTGAATCGTTATGTCTTCTATGTGGCGAGGGGGTTGCTTCTTCATAAAATGCCGCTCTTCATGAGTTTACTTGATCTGTAGGTTTTAGCAGACAACCAATCTCATCAACTTAATCTAAACAAAGGCTGTTGGGGTCCAAAATCCACGTGACACTCCGCGGTCAAACAGGGTCAGTCTGAAGGGCAAATTGACAACTCGGGGGTATGATGCCTGCTTTGTTAAGACAAATGAAGACATGCCCACCCTCTATTTAGACTAATCAGAATCTAAATCCTTTGTTATGGGACAAACACCTCTTATTCCTCTGTATCACGTAGCCATGAGGACACAGAAATCCTCGTCACCGAGATCAGATTATCCAGATTTGCTTCGTAATGCATTCATATCAATGCATGCATGAAGCAGCTGAAATGACAACAGCCAACTGAGATTTTTTGTTTGTTTTATTTTGCCATCTGTCAACATAGTGCTAATTAACAATCCTTGACGCAATGCACATCATGATGTCTACACAGGTATAGGCTATGGTATCTGATGGAAGCAGCATCTGACTATTGATGACTGACGTTTGGACATAAACACATAGCAACATTCAAGTATATTCTGTGACATTGGATGACACATCCTTTTGCAGCGGGTTAAGGGAGGGAGAGATGTGCTTGTGGGGGGGGGGGGGGGGTTGTTTTACCTGATCACCGCCCTGCTACGTGTCAACAGCACATCCTCCACTACAAGGTGGTTTAAGGAAACAGGAAACGTTGGTCCCCACTGACCTGAATCGTGCAGGTGTACTCCGAGTCGTCCAGCAGCCTCACGGTGCAGTTGCATTCCCTGTCCAGACTCCTGATGCTGCTGCTCATCAGTCGGCTCAGCATCTTCTCGGTCGTCTGCGCGCGGGACCAGGGAGAAGGGCGCACAGCACATACATAGGCTACAAGTTGTATCTTTCTGACACGTTAGCGACGTCCCTGATGTTAAGTCCGACACCTGGTCAGCGGCGGTGACGGCGCGGTGCGCAGCGGCGGCGGTGGTGCATCTTTTTATCCGTGTGTTAGAGCGCGCTGACTGGCCGAGGTGCCACAACGGTGCGTTTCACTCAGCGCTGAGTGGAAATAGTGCTGCTGCTGCTGCTGCACTCTCTCTCTGGTCCGGTAAAGACTGTGTGCCCCCCCCCGCCCTCACCTCACCCTCTCCCCCCCTCGTCTCCTCGCCGTTGCCATGCCGCTGTAACGCTGCTGGGCGGGCCGAGACCGGTGAGTGGCGAGTCCGTCAGCCAAAGGAAGCCGTGACTGAGACTGTGAAGGCAGCCTTCACAGAAGGGACGACCGGAGACGAAATTCCAATAGGCTGGTGTTCGTGTTCATCGTAACCACAGCCACATGGTCGGGAATAATAACATAGTGGAAGGTGGAGGGGCTTCAGTTTCACAAGTCAAACAATGGACGGGCGCTTTATGGTGCTGCAGACGTTGATGAATTAATATTCAACATTTGATCTCGAAGGACATAGGCTTTTTTTAAACAATGTAAAACTAGAAGCAAACAGGCTGCTAAAAAACACATTACAGTTTATGTCATATAAATAACATTTAGGATACATGAATCACCTTCATATTCTAATGACTTAAACGTGATATTTCAGTATTCAAGCACGAGCCAGATTTCCTATTTGTTTTACCAATTGTTGACTCGCCCTCTTTGGTTAATTGCTATATTTCCGACATATCTTTAAGGCAGCAACACATTTAACATTGTTGCCTCCACAGGTTGATTACCTGTCTTTCTCATAAAGTCAGCAGGACTGAGGTATGATGGTCATGTAAAACAGTAATAATCATTGTTTATATCTGATGATATTATTGTTGGCTATTTGCCTCATGTCTCATGTAACCAGAGTCAGTTTGATAGAAAAATCAATCTGGGCTTTTCTAATTATAATACTAAATAAAATAAATTATATATAATAAATAAATCAATAAACAAACAAACAAATAAAGGTAGCATTCTCCTTCACATTCACGTATTTCGACCGTATACATACTGAGCAGAATGCATTGATTCTATTGGTTTCTATTGAAACCAATGCGGATTAAATGGCTTGCTCAAAGGTTATTGTCAGATGCAAACAAACAGCCCATCTTTCTCAGCTTGTTTTCTGAGAGCTGTTGCTGTCACGTGCAGGCACCTTTAACATACTACCTACTGCGGAAACAACTATCTCTTTGAGATGAGTTTGAGCCAAACCGATAACAGTATAGTTTCCGGTTTCTTTGACTGTGCCTCCCTCTGGTGGCACTTCATGGTAATCACAACGAAGTGGGGAAAATTGGGAAAACCCCAATTGCCGACTATTTATTGGTGGGACAAGTATTCAGCGCCTTCCCCGCAGCAGTAAATCTATACTTAAAATATACAAATTTATCAGAAAAATGGTCCCATTCAGTGTTTTGCTATTGTGTTTTTGCACCAGGATTGGTATTACTGGGCATTAATGTGCATATTGCATTTTACTGACGTGTTTAACGTCGTGCTTACTGTTGGGTAGTTTAGTCTACAGCGATGCATGTTATTCTATATAATCATCTTAAGTTTGTTACCTCTACAAAGACAACTTAGCATATGAGGTCAGAAAAACAGCCCTGTTGTCAGCTTTGTGACGATACATTTTTCAGTTATTTAAATGTTGTTGTTTTTAGGCTAAAATGATTTATCTTAAGAAGGAGGATGATGTTCTCTCTCAACACGTAAAAAAACGTTTATTGTTATTATTCGTATTGTTATTATCATTATGAATCCTTCAGTTTATCAGAACAAAATAAAATCAAAAGTAACCAAATTTGGAGATTGCCTACATGGTTTTCACTTGACTGGGCGGGTATTACGATTGAAATCCGATGCATTAAATAAAAACAACTCAAGTAAAGTGCAAGTACTTCGTAGACTAACGGTACTTGAGTAAGTGTAGGTCTACATATTTCACCAGAGAAAACCATAATATTCCGTAAAATAACTTTCCTTGCGGAAATATAATGTGGTTCTTAGTACTGTCTGGGTCCCTAACATCAACTCCCATTGACAAAAAAATACAGCTCATCTGCCGTGACATTGTATCGCAATGCCGTGACCCGGATTCGAACCGGGGTTGCTGCGGCCACAACGCAGAGTACTAACCACTATACGATCACGGCGAGCTACGATGAGCTGGCAGACTCAAAGGAGTCCCAACACCATGTCTTTAACGGGACAAGACCTCCGCGAGTCTGTTGAATGAAGAGTTGTTTTGGAAAACTTACTTGTTGATTCTCTCTCTCTAGTCAATACGGAGGGCACATATCCTGCACCTTTTCTTTACAAAATGTGCCCAAAAGCACCTTTTTTATAATTTATTTTTTTTTAACTACGGAAACGTGCAGGACAGCTTGTATTGTTTACACAGTAGTGACATCTGGTGTAAAAACGGACAAACTGCAGGGGCAACACGTGGGACGCCACCTCTTCTCTGGTTGGCTGATTCTGCTGTATACGTAGCAGAGCTTCCTGTTTTGTAACACAAGTCAACGTGCTGATTACCAAATTCAATATCTCAGCGAACACAACATTGACCAAGCGTGACTGTGTTAAGGGCCAGTTAAGGTAAAGTTTTGCTTCACAACTGTGCATCGTTTTTGGGTTTAACTTGCGCATGTGACTGCTGCAACATGATGTTGTCATGTTGTTGGGTCGTTGTTTTGGGTCTTTGTTGCCAAACCTAGGCACTTTTTCTGCAACTGTGTGGTCTAAAAAATAGGTGCATGGATTTAAGTCGATAACCAAAATTTCCTAATGTCCCGTTTAAAGCAGGATTGAAACTTCTATTGTTACTGTTGCCACTGTTTGAGCAGATTATACAGCACCACTGGAAATCTTCTAACTTCCACAAAGTTGTTCACCCAGCAGTACAGTACTATAAGAATAAGGCTGCACAACTTGTGGTCGATAATGGTATTGTAACTTAACTTCCCTCATTGTTAAATACATTTCAACAGTAAAAATAAGCAAGATGTTGATTTTAAGCTATATAGAAATAGCAGAAAATGTGTTATCGTTTTAACTTTTGATGTATGGGCCTAACTTTGGACTTAGTCTGACTGCTGTGTTTGTGTGGCATTTGCAGAAGAAGCATTCGGATCCTCTAGTTTCTCTGCATGGCCAGCTACTGTGGAGAGAGTTATTCTACACAGCTAGTGTGGGTATCCCCAATTTTAACAAGATGGAGGGCAACCCTGTATGTACCCAGGTGGATTGGGACACAAACATGGAGAGAGCTACTGAATCCTTTAAAATTTAAAAAATGGAAATTAATGAAAACAGGTGAAATTCGTAATTTTAGCATTGCTATTTTCCTTGGATCATAAATATTTGCTGTCATCCTGGATGTTCTGTATTTCCCTTAAGGCTCGGACTGGTTTCCCCTTCGTCGATGCCATCATGACCCAGCTGAGGCGGGAGGGCTGGATCCACCACCTGACCAGACATGCTGTCGCTTGTTTTCTCACAAGGGGAGACCTGTGGATCAGCTGGGAAGAAGGGCAGAAGGTAAAATGAGATCTTGTACTTCTGTGGATTAAGTTAAGTATGGAGCACATAGCCAGTCCAGGCCCACAGCGCTTGTTTCCATGCGCAGTTTACAGTGTGTGGGAGATGGCTGCAAAATAACACATAGCTATGTATAAGTCTTGATATATATATATATATATATATATATATATATATCACATAGCTACCAGAGTTTACCAGACCTCTGTATCCCACTCCTCATCTCTGCTTTAGGGTAGCCCCTTTAGGCTACGTTAGCCGCTACTAGCATACTCGCCAGTCAAGTTGCATTGTCGAAAATGTACACAGGATTTGACAAGGAAGAAGGATGCATGAAATATAAAACGCAGGATTCGCCAGAATTCTGCTGCATCGATTTTGATCCTTTTTCAACCGTCCACCATGAAAGTGTTATAGGAGTGCAATGCTAAATCTGTGGAGTACTCACTTTGCTGACTGCCCCTGAAGGTGTTTGAGGAGCTTTTATTGGATGGCGACTGGGCTCTGAATGCTGGAAACTGGCAGTGGCTCTCAGCAAGTACCTTCTTCCACCAGTTCTTCAGGGTCTACTCCCCTGTCGTATTTGGCAAGAAGACGGACAAAAATGGAGACTACATCAAGTAAGATTGTAAACTTAACAAGCTCAAGTCATTACAAAGGATACATGTATTGTATATACATGTAATATATGTATTATAATAATATTAATGATTTTGCCTCCACTCTACTTTATAGAAAGTACCTTCCTCTTAAGAAGTTCCCGGCCCAGTATATCTATGAGCCGTGGAAAGCTCCACGCAGTGTCCAGCAGGCAGCAGGATGCATCGTGGGTAAAGACTACCCGCATCCCATCACACAGCATGAAGTGATCAGCAAGACGAACATCCAGAGGATGAAGTTGGCTTATGCCAAGAGATCGGCAGACCCCGCTGAATCACCCAACAAATCACCCAGCGAAAAACAAGGTAGTGGAAGAAAAGTACAATTTTCTGAGAGGTTTATCTCTTCTGATGTTAGTCGTGTTTACAGAACATCCTGCTTCTTTAATACTTTCAGTTTTCCTCCTGTAGGTGTAAAGCGCAAGGCTCCGTCTGTTTTTGACATGCTGAAGAAGAAAGAGAGAAGAAAGTAATGGTGCACATATGAATGCATAGTAAAAGAGGTTTTGTGTAATCTATAGCTCTTCATTACAAATCACAGAATATATTAGAGTCTCATTAATGTGTGCACACAGTCTATTATGTCTTCTTTTTTATTACACCCTACATTGGTTAAGATTTTAGTACTGTTTTTATTTAATTTTTTATATTGTATCTACCGGTATATAAATGTGCGTTTTATGCTTGTAGAAAGTTTCTTGCATGGAGATTAACTTAAAATGTATAAAAGTTGATGGTCTCATCTTGTCGGAAGGCTACAGTTTATATTGAGATGCAGTAGTGTCTGCTTCACAAGTGGCCTTTTATTGTAACTTTAATGTTAAAATGCCTTACTGCTCCACCCTAGAAATTTGATGTCTATTTTTTACTCTTTACATTGTATGACTACTCAGGTGTTAATTCAGTGTGGCTTTGTGGCACAAGGCAGTAAAACTGCCTTGTGCCAAAGCACACTGTATATAATACATCGGGCTTAATAATAATAATCAGGTTTATCCAAAAACATTTGGTGCGCTTCTCCTCACACAGCGTTACCAACACCTGCACAAAAAAATACATCAAAATGTGCGGCCTGATCGGGAATAGTGTGCTACGTATTTTTTCGAGAGATTCGCCCAGCGGTTTTCCCGAAAATCCCAAAAAACGGATCAAAATGTCTCCATTCACTTGAATGGGGTTTTGGCGTGAAGAGAGCTAAAAAAAAAACACTTTGGGCCCATATTGACTAGCCATACTTTAACGTAGAAACATGATTCAAAGTTTAAAACGTAGACAAAATGCTGCACTTTATTGAGCCAAATGGACATTTTGATAGCTAGCACAGTTTTCATGAAGTCACAGATGAAGTTTGAGGAAAATTTTGGATCCGTTTCAGATTTTATAATGGGTGTGTATTACGGCTGGTTAAGAGCTAGAGTGAGAGCATAACTGTCAGAGTGGAGCAGACCAGGAAAATATTCTGTGATTTTTTTCCAAACAAATTGCTCCAGCTCCCACAATTCTTGCTCTTTATACACCATTTCTGGCCAAAAAGCTTGGAAATGTTGTGCTGTCGCATACAGATGTCATTGGAATCCAACGGACTTACACATTTGGCTCAAAGAGCCGCAGAGCGACATGAACTCCAACCAACTGCTCCATTAGACTCCATGTTAAACCTGACCACTCATTTCTCAAAGAAAGTAGACGGTACCAGTTTTGTATATTGCTCTGGAGCTCACATTTTTAACACCACAGACATAAAAACCACATCACCGCGTTCGGCAGAGTCTTATCTTTATTTTGGCACTCAGACTCCTGCTTTCTTTAAAAAGGAGGCAGGAGTTTTGTTCAAAAACACTAACGTCAGCTCCCATCATTTCCAAAGGTATCTCAAATATCCATGCTCCTACAGTATCTTATTAAATAACTGCAATATTACCGGGGGATGTGATCCTAAAGGGTTTCATCTCTACTTTAATGTACACTACTGTGGTCTAACAAAGGGAGGCCAGCCATGGATAGGTGTAGAACAGCGGTTCCCAAACTTTTTAGGCCGCGCACCCCCTTCTACATCCCGACCGGGTTCACGCACCCCCAATCCCCAACACCTTAAAAAAAAGAAGCAACAGAGCCTATTTATAGCCGCATCGAAATCGGACCAATGAGAGAATAGTTTGCTCGCGCGTTGCGTTTGTTTACAATATTTAGTCCGCTGTTAAATGTTGCAGTGTGAACACAAACCGAACAAAGGGGCAACTGCAACATTGTATCATATTAATCCCTGAATCGGAACAAAGCAAACGAACTGAAGGTGTGAAAACGCCCTGAAACACTGCAACAAAGTTTCAATAACTTTCAGTTACACAAGGCGTCACTTTGAAACAGCAATAAGGATGGCGAGGACACCCGCACAGGCTCAGAGGCAGATTGCATCACATTTAATTTACAATTAACCATACATAGAATGAGACTGCAGTTGTTCTTGGCTGTTTTGTAACTCCTCCAATTTCGATATAAAATATGTAAGGGGCTTTTGACTTGCACTGGCATGCTTGGTGTTCAGGTGGCGACGTAAATAAGACGGCTTCAGACAGCTGTTAGCCAGAACCTCACTGCACACCACGCACTGTGGCTTTGGGCAATCTGCATTGCCAATCCAAGTGAAGCCCAGACACAGATCATTTTCATCACATTTCCTCTCTTTTTTCCCAGTCTGATGCTCACTCTCGTTTCCTCTTTTTTTTCACCTCGACTCCGCGATGGGCCTATGTGCTCCCGATTTGTCTGTGCTATCCCTTCCTCCTTTTCGGTCTCCTCCGTCTCATCTTCCTCTGACTCCTGCTCGATTTCTTCTCCCGGTCTCTCCCCAACGCACCTCTCCGTTTCTCTCGCCTCCGATTTCTCTCTCTCTCTCTCTCTCTCTCTCTCTCTCTGTCCCTCTCTCTCTGTCCCTCTCCTCTTTTATGACTGATAGCTTCAAATGTCCCACCTGACAGTTTCCCCGATTTCAGCCAGTTTAGCATATTTGCATGAATGTTGCTGAATGAATGAAGTTAGCTGTTAGCTGACGTTAGCTGCACAAGCTAGGCTAGCTAGTGTACGTAAAAGACAGTCTGGCGGCAGGAGCTGATGTGCATTTATTTATTAAATTGTACGTTTTTAAATTTAAATCTTACAAAGGGAATTTTTATAATTCATGTAACCGAGCGTCTTGGGTTCGTGTATAAAGGTACTTATCATACAGTAATAACTGGAGTCGGGAGATTAGACATCTTCTATCAGCCCACGGCTACTCTCTTTATTATTGTTTTCTCCTTTGGCCAGAGGCGGGGGTTGCGCCTTCGCTACGGCAACCCTCAAGGGACATATCGTCAACACCAGAACGACAAATATGAGACAGTCTGTTACATTCATGTTTTTATTTTGTGAAAATTATATTTAATATTAATTATTACACCATTAGACCACCATTACATGTTTCCTCTCGCGCACCCCCTAGAGGCAGCTCGCGCACCCCCAGGGGTATAGAAGGCAGGGAAAAGTGTGGTGCGCGCACCACACTTTGGGGAATCCCTGGTGTAGAAGATATTTTCATGACCAGAAGCCCTTCCAAAATGAGGCGGTTCGATTCACACCTTACCCAAATTAAACGTCCAGTATAATAGACAAGTTATGCTTTCCAATAAAGAAACTCCAAGGTATTTTTAGATAAATGCTCCCCATATGCCCGTGCCCCTCGTGACTTTCACAAGAAAGCCACGGCTCTAACTAACTAACCCTAACCAGAGTGAAGGAGCTCTGCTCTGCTGCAGTACCGACAGCGGCCACGGTGGCGCTGTTTCCCCCCCCCCGCCCCAAATATGAAAAAAACATATTTTTCAGCAATATTGAACGCCTCACGCATTTGCGTGTCGTCCTGGGTGTCCTGGGTGTCATTATTCTCTGTGTCAAATTCTCAATTTTGTGTCAAGTTTCAGGAGCCAATCAGACAGCTCAAATTGTAAGTAATAATGCTCTTTAGCATTCTGCATAGGTACCAGTAGGCCTACGCTTTCCATGGCCCATTCTCTATCTACGTGCTTTGAGGCTTCCTATTTAGAACTTTATCTGATTCTAAATAGGACAGCCTGAAATGGAAAAATATATATGATATATATCCAAGTATCCTATGTGGGAGAGGGGCTCCCTGCATTTGCTGTTCCTAATGGGCATACATTGCAGTAAATCATTTTTGATTTATTTAACTCTGATGAAAAAGCATCAGAGTTATGTATCCTGTACAGGGAGATGTCTGACAGACAGATGAAGGTCTTGCCCAAGGACACATCGACATGGACTAGCAGAGCCGGAGATCGAACCACCGATACTCAGATTACTCGGATACTCAGATACTAAGCGGTGGACTAAATCAGACACCTCTTTGAGCAGTTATCATCACCATATCCCAAAATGAACAATACTGCAGGTAAATATGTCAAAATACGAGTGTCTTTGTAAGGTTTTGTTCCACAAGCCTCCAGAACAGCTTCAAGGAACTCGACAGGGGGTTCGTTTCTTCTTTGTCACACAAGTAAAAACCAGGATAGCTAAAATGTGCTGTGCAGAGGTGTAAATACACTTCTCAAGTGTGCCTGCAGAGGGCAGAGAGTCCTAGTACAGTTCTAAATGTTCTCAGGTCTGTCGCTCTCACACACACACACACCAAAATAACTTATAGCACAAATAACAATCTGAAAGTCACTTACACAAAGCTTCCGCAAAACATTTGCATTACATTTTAGTGCTGCCTATGCGGCACACATTATCAGTACTGTGGATCAAAAGGTATTAAAAAGTATATGTTTATATATATATATAAACATTTCTGTCTGTATTTAGGAATATCTGCATCTTGCTAAAAACCAAAAACCAGTTGGACTAGTTACAAATATGCAGCAGTTATTGTTATTGCATGTATAGGCACATAGGGATATTTTGAAACATGTTTACAGCTCAGACATAGTAAAAGATACCTTTAATATTATGTCAATGGAATAAGTTGTCCTTGTTTGCCTATTCAATGGACTGACAAATGTGTTTATTAGAAAATGAATTGTCCTCCCTCACCTGCCTTCAGCTGAGCAGTTGACAAACTCATTCTGTATAAATAGGAAATTGATTTTTACAGATAGAATATAAATGTAGGTTCAATGTTCAGGTTCATTCATGCTGGATAGTTTCTCTGTGCATTTACACTCTGCACATGTCATATTTATTCACATGTCCCCCCTCCAATCAAAAATGTGTTTTTCTTATTGTTGCTAGAGCTTCACTGTGCAGACATCATGTCGTTTTCGTTTTCACATTCATCTGCTGAAAGGAGGGGGCAGTTACTCTGCGCTCACTTTAAATTTCAGTTTATTACGTGTATCAGCAAGAGTTTGTAAAATCACAACTGTTTCAGGCCCCAATCATAGTCCAATATGAAACCTGTACGAGTGTTTGTGTCGAGGTAACAAACACAGAGAACGGACTTTTCCGGTGTTCTTATGTTCAGCCGTTACACCTGTGACAATTTGCATATTCTCGGTGAGATAAGGAGTGAGGACCTGTCTTTTCTTTTTGTGTTTACTAGTTTATTTAAATTTTTGCGGAAGAACCTCAACAAACACCAATTATTATTCAAAGACAAATCCTCAAACCTGTCTGCAGCAGCTTGTTTTGGATGAACTATTGATGTCATTTAGTTGAAAGCGTATTTCCACAGTCTTTTTTTCGTGTATGACATGCCACAAATGCATTAAGAAGCCTACTTAGTGGGAGGTGTTTTAATACAGGCAACTGCATTCATATTTGCGGTTGTTGTAGAGTACAGTGTAAACGTAATCATTCCTGCGGGTAAATCACTTTAGGTCAAAGCAGCAGCATCCGGTTCGGCTGCTGATTTAATCCTCACCGGGTCTCTCCGTGATCTCTGTGTCGTTGGCTGCTGCCGTGCGTTAGTATCGCACAGCCCCTCCGAGAGTTTCAACTGGACTGTGAGTTTCACCGGGACGTTTTCATGATTGATTTATGACAGGCTTTACCAAACATCTACGGTGCTTACTAAAACAAAGATCCGACACTTATCTCTTCAACCGACTTTGATTTTTTCAACTTTGAGGTCACAATGACTTCATTCTTGCTATTCACTGTATTAGCAGTTGAAACGAGTCTATCAGTCGTATCGGGACACGGTGACGTTTTTACAAACCACTGGGCGGTGCAGATCACAGGTGGTCAGCAACAAGCTCATAGAATCGCAGCAAAATATGGATATATAAACTTTGGACAGGTAAGTTGATCCCTGTTTATTTGCTATTACTGCTATGGAAGCCTTGTGTCTTTAGCATGAAGTTCACTGTTCACTGAACACTTCTGATCTCTCAACTGTTCGAAGCAGAAGTGAACGCCAATTTGAAAGCCATAATATAATAAATATAAATATTATGTGGATGTTAGGAAATATTTGAGAATTCACGATATTCCACCCACATAGTTGACATTACATAGATTTTCTGTAACTTTAACCCATTCAAACCAAAGATCTGTGAAGTTACTCTTCAGGTAAAGATTGTAATGAATGTTCTGTAACTTTCCAAACTACATTTTCTTGTCTGAGATAACTGATTGACTGCTAAGATATTGAAACATACACAACGAAGATTACCAAATTGCTGCTACTTTCTAATGCGTTTTTATCATTGGTTATTAATAGTTAATAACTCATTTTCAAATTCTAAATAGATCAGTAATAAGCCATTAACAAAAATAACGTTTTGGTTGCCAGAGTGAGAATAATCCTCCTTGCTGGTGTTTATCCTCCTCCAACAAGACACTTGATTTATCCATTAGGTAATGTGTCCACTTGGCATCTGGAAAAACCTGGACCAAAATCCATTTTCTTAACAACTTATTAACATCCATTTCTCTAAACTTGGTGGCTAATTAAAAGTGTGAAACCCATAAACAACCGGCAGGAATGTTTTTTTTACAATCACGGAAACCCCAAACCTGTTCTTATTATTGGCTTATAACTGATAATGATGTACATACAAAAAATGACAGCAGCCCTAAAATTAGGATATTACATGATACAAAATGGCATGTTTTTCTTACCTTAGAATAAGTTTATTATATCTACATATGGAGCGGGTCCTCTTCACGGTGTCGGCCATGATTCGTTTACAGTTGCCTAGAACTGACAAACCAAACGCTGGCTCTGGAGAGGGCCATTCACATTTTTGCATCGGCCACCTTACTTCTCCTACACGCTTGGCACACGGGAGAATTTTCAGTTAGTTGCAATCGCAATTTCACCACTGAATGTCACCAAATCTTATACACTGGCCCTTTAAATAAGGAATTCAACTAAAATGGGTCTATTAATAGTGCAAACATAATACACATGTTTGCACTTTAATATACCAATTTTAGTCTATTAATGCACAGGTTTGCACCTTTATTAGACTAAATTGTTTTATGTGCAGAGTACATCATTTTGGGCTGATGGGTATTATTTTGTATCTCCTGATAATCTCCTGTATCTCCAGGTGCATGCAGAATGTCTTTTTTTGTTTGTGTATAAACCTGATTTTAGTTCACATAGATGATTACCTGATAAGGACCGTGAAACATTGCAACATTAGAATTTTAGGAGCTTCTTCTTCACTTTGGATTTGTGTCCTGCACCTATAGAATCAGATGTGCACTGGTTACCTATAAGTGATCTGTAAACCTTCAGTAAATTATTTATTAACATTTAATAAAACTTCATGTAGCAACTCATCCTCTTAGCAATTGAAGGCTGCCATATTAGAAAGTGGTACTGGATAGGCCTACGGTCTGTAAAAGAGAATAACTCAAGACGTGAGGCCGAGGCGGTAGGGAGAGGATGAAGACAACAGTGACTGCAGTGAGCCAGCTGAGCACATGTGCTGAGAATCATGCTCACATTTTTGTTGTAAAGTCAAGAGAGAACATGCATATTTATTGAATCATAAACAGATGGCCCAAATGTGTTTTAAATGAAGGATAAGCCAGACCACATCAGTGTAAAAGCCATTTGGATAACATCAGCTGAAGATATTTAGCCATCTTTTTATAGCTTACATTCCAGTGTGGTTGTTGTCATCGTCTTGATGTTGCTGTTGGATGTGTTTGGTCAGATAGGAAGTCTGGAGGACTATTACCATTTCCACCACAGCAGAGTGGTTCGCAGAGCTGTATACTCTTTCAAGGGGCCCCACAGCTTCATCCATATGGATCCTGAGGTGAGACTCTTATCAGTTTCTTTCAAGTGGAATCAAAATGTTCAACAGAGGAGATATGGTCACATTAACACCTTTTTCCTCTTGTCTAAAGTCTTCCAAGCAGACCTGCCAATCCTGGACAAAGTTTAGAATACTGGCAGCGGTTCACATATTTCTGTATTTTTTTCCATTGAATTGGTTTGTACAGTGGTGTGAAAACATGGTTTCAAAATATTGACCCACCTTTTCTTTTCCACTTAAATTATAAGAAAATTACATATTTATTTGTGCGGTTATACTCAACATTGAAATCCAAATGGGTTCATAAGAGGAAACAGATTTGCTTCTCCATGGCTGATTTTCAGGTGAATGAAAAAAAAAGTGCAAGACAGATTCACCCTACCCTATGTAGGGCTAATTTTGAAAAGTGAGAGACTTTAAGATAAGATAGACTTTATTGTCCCGAAGGAAATTTGTCTTGGAAACATACAGTGTACAGTGTCTGCTGTTAAAAAACAATACAAATAACATATTGCATACATACATTACATACACATTACATGCAAATACTGTGTGTGCAGGTATGTGGACTGTCGCCAGTCCACATACCTGCACACACAGTACCTACAGTATTTGCAAAAGACTGCCACCAGCCAACAAATACATTTCACACTGCCCATTGGACAACGCACCAGTAGTGTATTTGTGATGGTCGTCTGGTGAATTTTATTTACAACTAAAGCCGTCATTAGAGCATGAAGACAGCAGTGAGCTCACTGTGGACACTTCATCCAATCAACAATTAGCAGGAGAATATTTGCAACTGTGAGATGGAAAAATGTATTTTATGGAAATATATAAATGACCAAAGCAAAATGTACTGAATAAAATGTAAGAGCGAAAATAATATGACAGTAACGATGAGCATTTAGAAATGAATTATGTGCCTTTCTAGACCACTCAAAGCGCTATACACTACATGTCAATATCGTCACCTGGCAACATATCATATGACCTCATGAATGTGAACGTGTGATGCCAATTTTGAGAAATGGGAACCAATCCCATCTGATACTTATGATTATATTTACCATAACACGTACCCAGCAATAGCAACCGGAATTTAATAGACAAAACAGCAAAATGGTAAAAAAATAAAAAAGGTCAATAGGTACACAGGTACCACAATAAAATGTTGTTGGTGTTGAAAGCAATGTTTTGATACCATATTGTCTTTTTCCATAGAATTATTTTTGACATGTGACAGTAGGAAAAACATAGGTGTACACGGCAGAATATTTAATCGCACTGGTTCCCTCGACAAAAAGACAATGTGATTTTTCCATTGGATTTTGGATTATTGAAGAAAATAACCTCTGTGGCAAACACACATAGATTATTATACTACACGTTTTACAAGAGTGGCTTCACAAATGAACACCACTTATGATTTTTGAAGCGTGACTGCAATGGGCAGAAGTAAAAAGCTAACTTTAGGCTCAAAACAAACACCACGGTTGCATGAGTGTGAGTATACACAACAAGGCTGTAAAGGTGGACTAGTCAGCGTGATGACGTTGTTTTGTTATATAAATTAGCCATCTGTTTGCAGCTGCCTAAAAAAAAAGTAAAAGTCTCTTAAGCTTGTGTTAACCACAGACTTTATTTAATCTTCTAACCAAAAACCCATTCAAAACACCGATTGACTTTGAGATGGGGGAACCAGAAGTGCCAACAATGTTTTTGCACACACCTATTGATCAAAGGAAGTGAAAACGTCTTTTCCTTCTACACTATTTTGGTTAGTGTGGACTTAACACCAGAGTAGCAAAGATGAACCTTACGTCTCCGTAGTGCCACCCAACATCGACACAGTTTGAGTATCAAACTAACTAGTTTCAACAAATGGTTCAGTGACTTTGTACACTAAGATAACTTGCATATAACTGGTGCAACGGGCTGCTATTTTTTGAAAAATCCAAGTTTTGACTTCAATTATACAGAAAAATATGTTTCCATAGAATTTTATAGGTGTGGACAGCCTGACTTTTCTTTAACTCGAAACTGATTTTTAGTGTTCTTTCAATTTCCATTTCCATCTTTAGGTGGACTGGGCTCAGCAGCAGGTAGTAAAACACAGAGTAAAAAGATATGCCAAAAGTGACCCCAGCTTCATTCATTTCAATGACCCTAAATGGTCCAACATGTGGTACATTGTGAGTACAGAACACTGAATCATTCATACTGCCATTTCCATTTTGACAAGAAAAGATAAGACGATTGGTGCTTGTCTACCATGTTTCTTTTCAGCATTGCAATGATAAGAGCAGCCCTTGTCACTCAGAGATGAACATTCTGGCTGCCTGGCAGAGGGGCTACACCGGCAAGAATGTGGTTGTCACCATATTGGACGACGGCATTGAGAGAAACCACCCAGATCTGGCTCAGAACTATGTATGTGCCATCCATCCAACCATTTCCGAATATGGATACAGTTCAAACTGAAAATATGTCTTAATGAATTTAATTTCTGCATTTAACATCTTGGGTTGTTGCCCTGAGTTAACAACATGTTTGGCTTCAATTCATCAGTACAAGAACTAAGATAGAAGCTTCCATAACTGAGCTGTTTTCTCTGTCTCAGCCTCACCGATATGTTGCTATTTCTTCTGTTGTCCTTTATTGTTTCTCTAGGACCATCTAGCAAGTTATGATGTCAATGGGAATGACCATGACCCGACACCACGTTATGACTCCCGCAATGAAAACATGTAAGAAACAATAGCACCAATGTCTTCACCTTGTCACATTCAACTTAAATCTATTCTGCAGTTCCCTCATCTATGTCCCTTAATAATGTCTCTGGCCAAGTGCCCGCTATACAGAGTAGTTCCAGAGTAGTTCCAGATGGGTTCCAAGTACTGAGGGCCTCAAAGTGTGTGTTGGATAGTCCAATAGCATCTGAAACCCCTTTTTTGTTTAGTTTGTGTAACTTTAATGCCCACTGCACTGTCCGAACTGCGGTATTCGTGAATGAGTCACCTGCGTGGATGTAATGACATCTCACATTTTAATGATATATAAAATATATTTTGGTGTGGTTTATAAAATAAGCCTTCTCATTAGTATTTACACTGCCAGGTTATTTTATTTCAGATGTGCCTTTTACTGATGCTTACAGTAATCTGCCTTTGAACATGTCTTTGAAACAGATCACAGCTATGTGTCAGGCTGTAATTTCTGTGTTTGTTCTTTGTTTACATGTAGACATGGAACTCGGTGTGCAGGTGAAGTTGCTGCAGTGGCCAATAACTCCCATTGTACCGTTGGGATTGCCTATAATGCTCATATTGGAGGTAGAGTTCTCTGTCCTTTACTAAACACTCACACCAGACTGGTAGTGTGGGTTGTTGAACCATCACTGTGTTGGAGACATAAATATATCAGCAACAATTCAATGAGTTACCATTAAACGTGGTGCAGATATTCATGGTTCATATAGCATGGATACTAATGACTCTGTTGATCCCCTGACTTTCAATTTAGCACCACAATCAGTCAAAGGTTCACTTATACAGTGAAATATCTCAAAATCTAGGTTTGGTACAAACATTCATGGTTAACAAACATTGAATCCTAATAAATGTGTTGATCTTACTATTAATCAGGTCTCAGACCTCAGGTCTCTGCAGAGGTAAACCTGTAAACAGCATGTTTACGGGTGAGCTGAACCAGTTGGTAGTACCTATAAGTTATTTATACCTTTGAATAGTTATAACTATTGCAAAATATATTTTATGAATTCAACATGTGCTTTGTGTGAAAAATCAAGCATAACCTTCAGCCATCAGATAAAGTATCTGACAAAGATAGCAGAGTAAAAAGTTATTTTGTGTAGATGCTGCTTTTAGCTGTTTATTTATACACCCATTCTCCGATGAAGATGCAAGGAAGACTGAGTGCCTTACATTCATTCCCTTTGAAATGAGTTTGACGTATTGGGTTTGACGTTACCTTGGACACAGGGATTCGGATGCTGGATGGTGATGTGACTGATTTGGTAGAGGCCAAGTCCCTGGGAATCCGACCTGACTACATTGACATCTACAGTGCCAGCTGGGGACCAAAAGACGATGGCAAGACAGTGGATGGCCCTGGGCCGCTAACTAAGCAAACTTTTGAGCAAGGCATCAAGAAGGTTTGATCAGTCATAAAGAAAAAACAGAACTTCTCTGAGCAATCGTATGCATGTATGTTGGATGTTTGAATGAAATCACAGCACCACATCACTATGTGTCACACAGGGACGCAAAGGCTTGGGGTCCATTTTTGTCTGGGCGTCGGGTAACGGGGGTCGACAGGGGGATCACTGTTCATGTGACGGTTACACCAGCAGTATCTACACAATCTCCATCTCCAGCACCACAGAGAATGGAAACAAGCCCTGGTACCTTGAGGTCTGCAGCTCCATCATTGCCACAACATACAGCAGTGGAGAGTTTAACGACAGGAATATTGTGAGTACTGCATACATTTAACGTTAACTGTAGCTCAGACAGTTAAATAGAATATGTGTAATTTTGATGACAATTCAAAACAAACTAGTTACCCCAGTGTCATGGGACTGTTGAATGACTGGCTCAATTTAATACTGATGCCTCCATATGACCAAGGTAAGTAAACGAGACCATCAGCGAGAAGATTGGCTATTTCTTTTATAGTCATTGGCCTCGCTGCTCTGCCGGTCCTAGGACACAGCTCTGATGAACTGACTGTGAACATACTGGAGCATTTAGCAGCTGAAGATCATTTTCTTAGGAGTTTGGTGGTGACCAACACAGAGCTAAAAGGAGAATGATTACTGAATGTACATTTATCATGGCCGACAGTGGTTAGTTAAATTAGCTAGTGTATTAGTATTAGTAGCTAAGCTAAGGTAAATGAGGGGAGGCAAATTGACTGAAAGTAAAAACATGGCACATGTCTATTGTCATGGCACAGGAAGTACTTGTAAAATTAAAAATGTTTGGGGGGGTCTAAGGAATTTAATTACCAGTGAGTTTTCTGGCTGTACCAGCTACAAGCAGACCACAGAATGTCAGACATGCATTGGTTGTCAAATCAACAAGAAAAGAACGACGGCCCCTCCTGAACCTCGGTGAACTTGACTAGCTTTTAAATCAAATTGATTCACATGTATTGCTATCACACATTTAAAACAACATATGCTGACCAAAGTGCTTTACAAACAAATGCAGAATAAAGGTCAACAGAGCAGTCGACAAAAAAATGCATATACACAGGCAGGGTGAAGACTGACTGACTCCCATGGACAAGGAGTTGCTGTAGTCAAGGCGATAAATATTGGAAAAAGCTGCCTCTCATCACAGAATGTTTCTGTCAAATCTGACAACTAATTAAAAATGTGAAATGACAACCTGTTACCGTGACATGGAGCAAACAAGCCACATCACTGAAGCTATGAGTCATACTGTATTCGTGTTCATGTTCTAGTCATTTGACTGGTAAGTTGACCATTTTCTATTTGTAGCACCGACTGTGTGTGTGTGTTTTTGTGTGGGAGAAGACCAAAGATCAACAGAGATTGTGTTTGCTTTGACTGCGGTGTGTCTCTCACATCATGTGGAAAGTAGATAGACAAAATGTCACACACACACAGTTATGTCGAATAGGCCCTTCTCGATTTCTCGTCTTCCAAACAAAAGCCCTCAATCAGAGGCAAATTGGCATTGCTCATCGTTCAAAGATGCAAACTGAAAACTTTGCCGACACATCACCTAGCAGGCCATATGTCTGACTTGTCAGGGAACTACAGCCAATGAAAGTACAACACACGTGTTGAGGACAAACTTGTTCACCTGTTAGTCACCCAAAAACAAAACGGAGGAATTTTACAGTAACAGCTAAATTTAGAGCAATTTATTTTACAAAAGGATATAATGTATTTTTACAACTTCATTAAATCACTGTCTTTGTTATTTTACATCAAATGTATTGATATTCATAACATTTTGAATATTTTCTTACCAGTTGTTGAAATTCATCCACCACATGATAATACACCTTTTGTGATGTGATGAAATGTGTTTAAATATTAAAACACAAACTTAAGAAAAAAGAAAACACGGAATCTGGGAAAAAAACAAACAGATTTCATAGGACCCCATTGGTGTTTTCACGTTAGCCACCGTAGCGCTCCTACACGCTTTGCATGCAGGAGAGGTTTCAGTTGGTTGTAATCTGCAAACTCACCGCAGATCCTACACACGAGACCTTTAAGTAAAGGAACCCAGTACTGGATGGTCACTGGATTTCAGGTGTTTCACAATTTCTTCTAAGATGTTATAGCTGATAGTACCATATATTGTGTCATGCTAATTGAACTGGTTTTATGCCAGTGGATTAAAGGACAATACAGACCCTCTACCTGATATTGAGGAACTGACAGCTTGTCTAATTTGTCTAATAAGTTTGTAAGCAAAGAAGGATACAAATGAATTGCGTGACTTAGTGGATTCAGGAGCTACTGACACAGGAGGGTTTATCACCCTGTCAACAGTAACAAACAAGGCACGTGGATTGTTTTGGCAATCGTGTCAGAGTAGGACAACTGCTTTGTGTTTCTCATTTCTAAATGATGTGAAGTCTCTTTAAAGATGTCATAAGAACCTGGAAATTGTTTTTTTCCATCTGCTTTTAACCTAATGGGAACTATACTGCGTTTGTGATCCCTTCCAGGTAACCACCGACCTCCGGCACCTCTGCACTGATGGTCATACCGGCACTTCTGTCTCTGCCCCCATTGTGGCTGGAATCATAGCCCTCGCTCTGGAGGCCAAGTCAGTCAAATTTTCTCAGTCTTTCCTGTTTGCTGCCTCAATTATCTGTTTTCCCCTCCTCTTTCGCCATCTGTCTTCTGTCTTTCCTTCTGTGTGTTTAGATTCTCTGCTGTCAAGACTCTTATCAAAATACTGCATAGTTACACAGCCAAAAATATAATTTCTCTGAATTTGTTCCATTTTTTTGTGGTCAGGATGTTGACCAAATTTCTTTCTCTTTAGTCAACCCTTAAAAAGAGGAAGTGTGAATGTTTTTTTTGTGATGTTCACAATGCTCTCAAGGGAAAGTGATGCCGCCATTATATTTCCCACTACCCATGTGTGTGATGAAATTCACCTACAGCAAGAATTGTGACTCCAGTTAACTATCTAGAGTCAAAGTTCAATTTAGTTGAGCCACTCTCTCTCTTTTAAGCTTTATTTGTGCGCGTGGTGCCATAGAGCGAGCCTCCGTAGATGGTGCACGAACTACGAGCATGCAAATAGGCCTTTTTTTTAAGTACTGTCACTGCTAAGCTGTTTATTGCAGTATTCTTCAAAACGCTAGAGGGCGTACAAACGCATTGTACTGTGAAGAAGCCAGAAGACAACGAGTGTTACCAGCAAAACAGCATAAACCAATCTGCACAATGCCGAGGAGGAATTGTAATTAACTGTAAACTCATATGTCATAATAAGAAAAATAAGTCGAGTATTAAAGGCTTTCTAAGGAAAAGAAGATTGAATTAATATAAAAAAATTGATTTGGCTGGCAAAATATAAAATATATAAAACAGCTGTAAGCAGCTCTGGCACAGAGGAATATGATATCTGGCTTTGAATACACACACAATTCTTGTTTGTAGGGTACATTGTTGGTTCGGGTCTTTTCATGGGATTTGTTAACAGTAAAAGCATACAACCAGTCTAATTATTTTAGCTTCAGTTACCAATGAAGGCTGTGTTGCCTCTTCCTCTATGTATCTACATGTGTGGATGTACTGTAAAGGCTTAAGTTGACCAATGGAACACAGTCTACCAGAAACACAAGCATTTCTGCAAACCTGGTTGAACTAAAGACATTTTACTGACTCATAACAATCAAAGGCTCATCAGACAAACAAAGACAAAGTTCACGAGTCGCTCTGTCCGGCCAAATAAGATGAACAGTGTCTTTGGTTTTTCCAGCCTTTTGCTGACATGGAGGGATGTGCAACATCTTTTGGTGAAGACATCCAGACCAGTTCACCTGAAAGCTGATGACTGGAAGACCAATGCTGCGGGACTCAGAGGTACATTGCGTTCTACTTCTAATACTTACATAATACATTTACTGTTTTATACAGAAAATACAAAACTGAAGCCTTAGATAATTAAAGAAAGTCACAGTTTGATCTCTCTTTACTTTGTCTTTGTCTTGTAATCAGTCCGTGTCTTTTCTCACAGTCAGCCACCTATATGGTTTTGGCCTGGTGGATGCAGAGGCCTTGGTGCTGGAGGCTACGAAGTGGAGGACTGTTCCTCCTCAGCACACATGCAGTCAGTTGCCTGTGCGACAAACCAGGTGAGAAAAACTGTATACGCATAAGTATGTTGCTAAACCGTGAACTTTCTGCAGAAATGAAAGTGGCTTACTGGCTTCAGGTTTAGCTTGAGAGCAATCAAACAAGGCCAACCGCTACACCCCGTTTACACTGAGTCACTTTATGCATCTTGAGCGGATCAGATAGCTATGTGGTCTCTGAAAAGTGTAAATGCATCTAAGAAGCATTCAAGGCAGATTCAGATGTGATTGTTTGAGACTCATTCTTGCCAGATGTTGAAAAGGTGTAAATGCATCCCTCTCTCACACATACATATATGTGATCCTATCTCCTCCCATAGTGTAACTTTGTCTGTAAGCAGTGTGTGATAATATCCACTCAATGTCTGATGTTCTTAATAAAACCATCATCTCCCTTTTCCTTGTGGTAACGGCATCTAAAGTTTCACTGAAATGAATTGTTTGTTCTCTGTCTTATCACGTAAAGAAAGAAGGAAAACATGCTTTAGTTATTTTAACACGTGCAGTCACATACATTCAATTTGTTTTTTTCTTTTTTTTTAATATATATTTTATTGATGAGAATGCACAATATGACGTAAGAAGTATTTTCATTTTTTGTGCACGTGTTACTCAGTTTACAGTAAAGGAGAAAATAACAAGAAAGAAAAGCAAAAAATATCAAAAAACAAACAAACAAAACAAAAACAAAGAGCTAATTAAATCAAAACACCCACCCACAGACAAGGCCTTCACATTTGTATACGTAAAGTTTATGTAGTACAGTATTGTAAAACTATAGTTAAGTAGTTAAGTTAAATTGCAGTTAATCAGACAGATACGGGAAGGACAGAGGACCAGATAGATCAGTACAAATTACCAGACATATCTCATTCAGTGGGCAACACTAATAGATTATGAAAATATGAAATGAAAGGTTGCCATTTCTTAGCCAAATTGTCATTACAGCCTCTAAGTGCATATTCAGTTTTTTCAAGACTTAAGAAAAACATCACATCCTTAAGCCAGGCAGACTGAGATGGTGAACTTGGAGATTTCCAAGCAAGAAGTGTTCTGCGACGCGCCAGAAGAGTGGTAAAGGCAATAATGTCCTTCTCTTTGGTACCATATAGGATGGATTTGGCTGGGATTCCAAAGACTGCCAGAAGAGGGCACGGTTGTGCCTTGATCCCTAAAATTATAGTTAAAATATCAAAAACATAGTACCAGAAGTGTTCAAGTTTAGGACACGCCCAAAACATGTGTAGTAAATCTGCTTGAGGATGATCACAGTGGTTACATCCTGGGTCGTGACCTGGGAATATTTTAGCTAGTTTGCTGTTACTAAAGTGCATCCTATGGACCACTTTAAACTGAATGAGACCAAGTCTGGCACAAGACGTAGATGTGTTCACCCTATTCAGTGCATCCACCCACCAATTCTCTGTCAGGTTCATGTTCAACTCACTTTCCCATTTGGTTTTGATTGTAGAAAAGTTATCTATTGTAGTTATCTGGTTGTAAACTTTAGATCAGTCCCTTCTGAGTTGGATGTGTGTCCAGTAGGCTTTCCCAAAGTGTTTTGCACGGGAGGTCAGGGTATGACGGAAAGTGTTTCACTACAAAGTGGCGGATACATTCAATTTCTGATCAGTTCAACCACTAATTGACCTGTGTGGGTGTGGGAGCAGTGCGAGCTAGAGCTGTGAAGACAAACAAACTTCAATAACATGCACTGACCAGTTACCAACACTATGACAGTGCCAAAAATACCTTAAAATGAAAATCTTTATTCAACAAGTTGTGGGAAAATATACAGGTATCTATTCCTCTTTGATTACTTCATACATATCTATATACAGTACAAGATCCAAAATCTGAACTGAGGAGTGGAAAATGGAGTGTGTGTGTGTGTGTGTGTGTGTGTGTGTGTGTGCAAAGTCGTGCAAATTCCAGGATGGATGGCTGATGTTTTGGAATTGTTGAGAAAATACCACATGTATATCAAATAGCATATTGTCTTAAAATACTTTAAATTTTTTTAAGACTTTAAATAGAAATGTGATTATTTTATAGAAAAATATGTATGATAAGGATTAGTGCAGTTTATTGTGCTTATGCACTATGTAAATGAAAATGTATTGACACACACACACACACACACACACACACACACACACACACTCACACACACGGCTCATAGATCTTTGCCTGCCCAGTTTATCTACTGTATGATTTGTTAAATCTGGAGATGGCTTGTCTTGTGGGGGGATCCTAGGGGAGTATGGAGCACTGGAGGCCATTATTACAAGCTATGCAGTCCTTATATAACTGTAATGAGAGCTGTGGCTGCATTCATGACAGAAAGTCAACCAGGCTCTCAGTGGGCACTGGGTTCCCTTCAGATTGTCATTGACAGAATTTGTAGGTGTGAAGAGTGTCTGGTTCATTAGCCTCATGATTGCATCTCTGCTCTTTGCGGATGATGAAGGCGGATAGCTTTACTTTCCTCTCAAAGCTTTTCGCTATTCTTGTTGTAGTTTGTTCAGAGTCTGTTGCAGACTTCACAGACACAACGTTCCAGGTCAGTGGAGGACAATCTATTCTAACAATTTTGTAATTGCACTATGCTTATGGCTGTCCCAGGTACATCCATGCTGGCCAAAGTCTGAACAGCAGCATGACCACCTCTGGGTGTTCAGAAGAACCTGACCAGCACGTGGATTACCTGGAACATGTAGTGGTCAAGGTCCTGATTGCCCACCCACGGCGAGGAGACATTGAGATCAACCTCGTCTCTCCGTCTGGGACGAGATCACAGCTGCTGGCCAAGAGGTGAGAGCTACACTGTACACACCAATGCATGCTGCAGGCCCAATATCAATACCACATTGGCCGTTAATTATATTGTCAGTTCTACGAAATTCCCCACTTGTATCTATTCCTATTGGAAACAGTTCACAGTGAGGTCTGTGGATTACCCCAAGTAACTGGAACATTGTTGTTGGCAAGACGTAAGTGGCGTTTATCAGCCTTCCCCAATCTCTGCTAAACTGAGTGTGGTGTACTTTATGCATGCAGGCCATGATGAGGTATGTTCCAAATATCAAGTATATATTCTGTATTCACCTATATAGTTACTCAAGTATTTATAAAAAAATTAGACTCAATGTTTCCTCAAATGGTTCAGAGTAGATAAGAGGTGGCCCCTGCTTTTATCTCTCGCAGCGCCTGCTGCAGCACTGTCTGTGATTACCAGCCACGACAGTGACTCTTGTTTTGTCCTGGAGACAACTACTGTAGCGGGAACTACCAGAGAAGGAATTTCAAGTACTTTGCCTGGTGTCTGTATTTCTGTCTGTGGACAGATGTTGTGGCCGCGAAAGCGTCTCAACCTTGCAAGATGCAGTCACGAAACTTATAAGATTTGTGGTAGGAATCTAAATAAAGGTAGAGTTTGAAGGTGGGCATGGTTAGATCAAGGGGATGAAGGTGGCCCCCCAACCCCCATTCAAAATAAGGCTGAGTTGGAAGATGTGGAACGAGCAAGGGTGCCAGAAGTAGGGGGATAGAACTTCAGGAAGGGGCCATTGGCCACCCCACTTTACAGTCTGGCCCGATTTGACGTTGCGGCAGTTGAGATCCTGCCAAAACAAAACATGCAGATGAAATGTTATAGTTAATAGGGACCAATATACTTTTGTATGTTTATAGGTTGTTTGACAGTTCCAATGAGGGCTTCAGGAACTGGGACTTCATGACGGTTCATTTCTGGGGTGAGAGGGCAGAGGGCATATGGACTCTGGAGATTGTTGACTCACCATCAAAGCTACGCAACCCTGAGGTGCTGGGTAAGGTCCGACAGCAAATGTACACACTAAGGCATACATTTAGTCGAACCACAATTGAAGCTGATGTCCTTATCCAGAGCTTTATTAGTATTGTTACACTTCACAGGCAACCTAAAAGAATGGACACTGATCCTTTATGGCACATCTCAGAACCCTTACCAGCCCCACAGTGCTCAGCACTCCTGTTCAAGGATGTTGGAGATCTCAGCCCCAGCGGAGATCCTTCAGGAGCCAGAGCTGAAGGAGGAAGATGAGTACAATGGTGAGAGCTCATCCAGTCTAGAAATAGTGATAGTATAATGAATAGAGCACGTTTCGGAAAGAGAGTTATTAGCTCTTTGCACTGGTGATGATGATGGTGGCGTTCTTGATCTTTATCAATGTGGTGCTCCTCAAGGACCATGCCACAGTGAGTGTGGAGACCAGGGCTGTGACGGACCAGATACTGAACACTGCCTCAACTGTGTCCACTTCAGCTCAGGCAGCTTGAAAAGTGGCAGGTAAGAGTTGACAGAAGGAAGTGGAACCAGACAAGTGGAAAGTCCTAAACTTAAAAGCTGAACTACTAAATATAGTTTTATTAACAATGGATCACATGACTGTGTACTATGAAAATAGTCACTCATATTGGCAAACTCTTAAGAATTGTCACAACTCTGCAGTTCCCCTCAGCTCTACAGAGCGTTTTAGCTTCTTTCAGCTGATTGTTAAGATTTTATAGTTTAAGGAGTACCTCTCATGCATTTCCTTATTTTTGTCATATATGTATATGTTGGGTGTTTATATTAAACATGGCCAAAGTGTCAAATAATGAGGTAATAGTATGTAAAAGTATCAAAAACATGAGGCTTGTGAACACCACTGTGTTTTCAAGGATTTTTCTTTTACTTTGGCTACAAGCTGACATTAGTTAGTGCCGGATTTCTGTATATGGTCATCTGCTCTAGGCAAAGCAGGCCCACAAAGTACATGGACAAACTCAACCAATGGATGCTCAAACCATAGATGCTCAATTGGCAGCTCAGTCCGTCTGGAAAGTCTCCCAGGAAGTGTTATTTCCTTTGCGAAGGAAAATTGATTTTGTTTGCCTTTCCTAAAGCAGAAAGCACCAGACAGTAAGGGATTCATTCAGTTCCTTTTTTCAGGCCAACGACAGCCATACGGAAACGTTTGGGTTTGTTCATGCCATTTCTCAGAGGACTCTTTCGTCAACACAGTTTAAGATAAATACAGATTTACACTACTATAGTGGTGTGACAGAATGTAAATATGGAGCTGGAAAAGAAATGCAATTGGTCCCTTTCAATGTTTTGGTTGAGTTGTTCCATTATTTGGAAGACTTTTTTAAGGGAACATTAGATCTGGGAATGTTTAGGGGACCTTTACAATAGGAAGTTCCCTCTTGGGAAGTTTGCAGAACCTTTAGTGACATTACAGGAACCTTTCAGGGAACAACCTACAATGTTCTTTTTTGGTCTCATTTAGGTCCTTCCATTACAACTTCAAGAACATTTAGTAACATTACAGGAACCTTTAGGGGATCAAACTAGAATGTTACTTTTAAGTTCTTCCATCACGTTCTCATCAATGCAATTAAAAAGTTCTCATATGACCAACAGGGAACCATATGGGGATGTTAACATAACGTCCCAAATGACTTCTTTTTAATGTTGCAATGTGACCACAAAATAACCCAAATGGAACGTCCCCCTCATGTCATATTGGGGATGCCTGTCTGCCTTGTGCTCCACTCAAACGGACCAACTTCACACTACAAAAGCAGCTGAGGCCACTTGTGGTTGTGTAAATTTCTAAATGTTTTGTATTCAAGAGCAGTAGTGTTATTTGTATACTGTTACAGTTGTGCAACACTTATCAAGGGAACTTTTTCTTCTTGAAAGTCCTAAAGGGATTGTTCTCATATGATCTAAAGAGAACCATATGTTTTTTCATGTCCCAAAAGTTCCCTTTGTGATGCCATGTTGCCATAAAAGAATGAACTTCAAACTGCAGGACTTTTATAACCAAAAGAGGTCGTTTTAGGAACGTCGCCAATATTCTGTAAAGGCCGGTTCCGAGACGTTTGTCACCATTATGTTAGCGAATTTTGCAAAATGTATGTAGATATTGATGCTACATCAAGTTTAAAAAAAATCAATACAGATCCACCCGTACAAGCTAGTCCATATTTCTGCTGTAAACTAACTCTCTTTGCACCGTCTTACCTTTGTGTGTAGAACCTGTGTGAGCCACTGTCCACTTGGACGCTATGGAGACATAGCGTCTCGACGCTGTCGACGCTGCTATAAAGGCTGTGAGGGATGTGTTGGCCTATCAGCCAGTGACTGTCTCTCCTGTCGAAAAGGCCTTTACCTCAACACACTCAACTCCAGCTGCATCAATACCTGTCCCCCTGGTTACTTTGCTGATGAGCGTAAGTCAACACATCCACAGTGTGGACCGAATTCAGTTGGTCTTTTATTAACTAGCCGATATGTAACAGTCATGTAGATCAGAGGTTGTCAACATTTTTATTTTCTTAATTATTGTTGTTTCCACCAGTATATTGATGCATATGCATGCTGTGTATGCCAGATCAGAGACAGTGTCTGAAGTGTCGCGACACCTGTATGAGATGCCTGAGGTATGCAGACAGATGCACTGCCTGCAGCGAAGGCTACCGGTATGTAAAGACAGTGCGATTGCCATGTATATTTCAACTTTGGTTTAGAACAAATTGTTGTAATGAAGTGGATTTTTTGTTTATAGTCTGGCGGGGATGACTTGTGTTCCTGAATGCACCAATGGGACCTTTTTCCATGTGGAAGAGATGACCTGCAGCCCATGCCATTCCTCTTGTAGGACTTGTACAGGTCAGTAGTGTGTTTGGCAGGTATACAGTTTCTTCAGTGTCTTCACAGAAGCAGCAGAAATAAAACCTAGTGATAAGGCAAATGCTAATTTAAAAAAATAACGTAGGTAGAGATTCAGGTATAGGTGTGAATAGATATTTTGATCACGTCTTTCCAAAAGCGCTGTTTGCTCCTGATAATTTTTTCATCTTGCCAGGCGTTTAATATCTGTTTTTCCCAGGGCCCGGTAAGGAGGAGTGTATCCAATGTGCTGAGGGCTACCTGCAGCAGGAGTGGAGATGTGTGCAGATCTGTACTCCTGGCTATTACGCTGCAGAGGCAGCCGGAGTCCCTCATAAGATGTGTCACAGGTGGGTGAATCTAAGTCTTGCAAATATCACTGGTTCATCCCTGAATCATTGTGTGACTGCGTCCGTGACTAAGTTAGTGTGCACATCTGTTTTTGTCCAAGGCTAATCTGCTGCAGCAAACACATATTTTTGGGTGGCCAGTTATGGTTGCATGCTCAATGACGTCTTGTGGTTGCAGTGACTCACACTTTCTTATAACACCTTTTATAACATGTTCTATACTGCCATTGACTTCCTGGTTATTCCTCACTCACCACTCTTAACCGGCCCCCTGGTCAAATGATAACATAGCTGAGTTCATCTGCAAACCCTACTCTGCACCCAGAGACAAAGTGGGGCAGAAACACTTTGCACACTGTAATTGTTTTTGACGGTAAGTTTGGCTAACACCTAACAAAACTACCAGTACACACACTTTACCTCCTGGTCCCTGCTCTGCGGCTCACTTTTTTTATTCGTTTTTGGACGGTGTGTTTGGAAACTGCTAACAGCAAACAGAACTACCAGTGGCACTCACTGTGGTACCTCGCCGCCACGAAACTGCTGCTAAGCGGTCAGACAGCCTGTTGAGTTTAACTTTGCGTTTTGGCACGATTGTATGAAGTGGATTATACATTGCTTGTGTCACGTTACATCGTCGCTTGTTTTTTGAGTTTGAATAAAGTCTGTTTGACTAGGCTTTACAGCACTGGTTATTTTAATGTAATCACACAATACAGCAGTGGTCCTTGCAGACACACCAACACACACACACACAACGGATATCTCCACACTTCTGAGTGCACCTTTCTAGTTTTAAAATGTCAGTTAGGGTGCGATTCTTCTTTTGTACAACTTAACTCTTGTGCCTAAATTAAAACAAGTTGCTCCCTTCTGAGGCACAAGAGTTCAAATCAACTGAACAATTCAAAACTTTCTTTCTCTCTTTCTCTCTTTCTCTCTTTCTTCTATTACAGAAACATTTGGATTATAGACTTGGCATTTTATGGTGCAAATACAGAGGAATCATACTTTTACTGATTGAGTACTCCCAAGCAACTCTCTGTATATAATAAGAAAGGAACAAATTGTTTGTCCAGGTTTTGATGATTTCAGCTCCATTCTACTGGTTTTCATCTCGCTTTGTCCCCCAAGGTGTGAGGAAAACTGTCTGAGCTGCAGTGGCCCCGGAACAACTTGCACCAAATGCAAAGAGGGTTACAGTCTGGTCGGCAGGACTTGTATTGTGAATGCCTCCTGTAATGATGGTGAGTTTGAAATTCTAACCCACATCAGCTTCATTGTGCACCTCTACTGGCAACACTGGAGAATCTCCAGGATAAAAGCTGCTGTGAACCACCTGCTTAATGCTTTCCCCCCCAAGGAATTCAAGGAAGGATGTCCACTAAATATGGAAGTATGTATTGAAAATCATACTTGAGTATATAGTGGATATCCAGATTTGGATAAATAGTTGTATTGAAGCCACCTCCAATAATAACAGAGAAAATCATTCATTGTGAAAATAATTGATGAAAAAAGGCTGGGTTGTCCTCATTCGGACCTTATAGATTATCTATTGTTAACATCACAGATGGAACCACGGATTATTATGTATCGTCATTCAGGATTTGCAAAGACTGAGTTATTGTTACATGGTATTTTGGTACATTATGGTATGTGGTTAATCAACAGTGTGACACCTCTTTTCTTTGAAGAATAAGAAGCAGCAAATACATGGTTTATCTAATTTTGATAGAGAGAAAGAGATTGAGTGTAAAAGTAGTAAATATAAGCAAAAAAACAATGTTAAAATCAAGTAGACACTTGGAACAGGGAGCACACATAGTGAACTTTTTATTTAGTTAAGCTGATTCTCTTCTCCCTTCTGTCTGTCAGCTGATGAGGTGTTCTGTAAGATGGTGAAGTCCAACCGTCTCTGTGAGAAGAGACTTTACCGTCAGTTCTGCTGCCGTACCTGTCTGATGAACGGATGAGGAGCCGACCACCATTGGATACCTGCTTCTCTTACTCTAAATCCGTCATGAAAAGAGACTGAAGTGTCATCAATTGGTCAAACCTATGTCTATAATCATTCATGCATAAATACAATTTGTTTTCATTTGTGAAGGGAAGTCAACTTTTTTTTTTGGTAGGTTATTTGGTGGATGTATCGATTGAGAAGGAAGCTCTTCGGTTGTATTTCTGCAGGTTGCAGAGGGCAGGTGTGATTGTCATAGAACATTTTGTAAACTGCAGCATGTAGAATGTGTACAAATATTCTGCACTGAAAATGAATTGTATTGAACATGTAAAACGGCACTATCATGAATGTGCTTTCAATAGGATGCACCGTTTAAAAACACTGCAACTGGCACTTGTTTTATTTTATTTTGAGCTTAATATTTTCCTTATTATATATTCAGGTCAGTTGAAATGTAAATAATAAAGCACACAGCTTTTTAAAGCCAGACATGTTGCCTCTGTCTTCTTTTACATTGGCTACCACAGCTTTATTAAAACATGATGCTTCAGTTTATTATGACTTCTACCCATGCTAGCTCTGTTATTAGTACTATGGAGCGTTTGAACATCTTTCAGCTCATTGTTGTTTTTAGTAGGCCACATACTTCAGTGTTCTGTTCAATCTCACTGCTCTCACCCACGGCATTTCAAGCAGCAGCAGGCAGCTGTTTTCAGTAAAAAAAAAAAAAAAAAGCTCTCAGTGTTGCCAGAAATGTTGTGATTCATGGGCCATGCAAATATGTGGGTGGCACAGGCCTGGAAGAGGCAAGCCTCCAGTCACGTGGTGGTGGTACAGAATATGTTGAAATGATGTGCCAGCATAGATACTGCCATAACATTATATCAGAACTGGACAGTATTTCTTCATTGAATGAAGAGCAAAGAATGGCACTGAAGGCTTTTATCGACGGAATATACATTTTTCTCTGCTCCCGACTTGCATCCATTGACAGATCGATCATCCAATCGCCTGTCAAGTATTTTTTCTGAAGTTCCTTTAGCCGCAGCTGCACTTTGTCTATAGTGCTAATTAGCAAATGTTAACATGCTAAGCTGGGATGTGGAAAAATATTGAAATTATCAGCTTTGTTTTTAAAAACCAATCAATCAGACCTCTTTACATGTTCCTATTCAAAGAAAACCATAACCCCTCTGGACACCTCATGTCTGTATTGAAGCTCAATGCCTGTGTATGTTGTGTAATAGCATGGTTCATCCACCAGGAGGCGACATAGACTGCATATTCACATAGAAAATGAAGTATTATGTTTTGTCTTCTTCGGCTGTTAGTTAAAATATGTCTCGCATTCTGTCCACTGGCTATGTGACAGAATGAACGGAGGGAAATTTCAGATGTCATGACTGTGAACAGTTAATGGATGGCTGGACGGATGACACTCTTCATATTTTTAAAGTGGCCGTAGTTATGGCACATTGAAAACACTGACTGTTCAGAGAATCCACTGCTGTTGTCTTGCCACCGCTGCCATCTAGTGAAACAAAAATAGAGACAGCGTAGAGAGCAGTCCAACAGTTTTACATACATTGGTGGGATAAGAAGAGAGGAAAATAATTGAGAAATATGGGATGTACACTAGAAAGATGTAATCATAAGTACTAGAGTATTTCCACCTGATACTAAGGAATAAAGTGAATGAAACATCTTAATGAATATCATTCTCCCATCACATCACATTGCAACTCATGAAATATCAACCATCATACATGAGACCACAATGGACACTGGGCCTAAACTACCTGAAAAGGTACATTAAGGTTTTGTGCTAGCACAAATATTTCATACGTAGGTTATTTTGGATAATGCATTAATTTATTATTTTACTGTGACATATTGCAGAGTAACATTTACATTTAAAGCAGCTGTAATGAACAAAACTATTATAGATTTAATAATAACATGCAGGCTAGTTGAACTTTTATTGCACACGGATGAGAGAACCATTTAAATCCGAGAGGTGTGGTATCGATTCGGCTCCAGTCTTGAAAAGCTGCTATAAGTTTTGAAAGCCAGACGTCCGTGTATTTGCTGAGATTAAAGCCCCCAATGTTTTCTGTACGAAAATAAACCCCTAAAGCTTCATAAGACTTCATCTGCCCATCACTATTAGTATTACCAATGTGCAGAAGACTGTGAACTCTTTTTATATCTCACACTTTCATACTTTTTGGCCTGTTTATCTGACATTAAGTATGCTTTTATGTTTATATTATTCAAGAAGAGACACTGCACATTGATGATGCCCATGAGTCCATCATGTAAATGTGAAACATTAAGCCATGGAGGCTAATTTATATCTGCAGTCCCTGGCAGGTTGGTGGCATTTAAGGGAACAAGCAAAAGCACATATAATTAGTAGAACAATGACTGAAGCGATACTCCAGATTGTGTGTGTCTATATATATCTTAACTTCATAAAACTCCAGTGATTAAATATATATTTATAACCACCTTAACTACTGATTCTCTCAGGGAAAGGGTTGCTATGACAAACAGTGTTTAAACTGATCTGTGTCACAGCCATCCATTTGAAATTGAGGTCCAGTATTTTTTTGATCAGGCATCTGACAAATAAGGTCTATTATGTTGTTATGTGTTTGTTTTTAGTAGAAGATGATTGAATAACATATTGAAACATTAATCAGGCGTGTTTTTTATATTTATCTTAGGTAAATGCATTTTTATATTATTCGGAAATTTAAGAAATTATCTTTTGAATAATTGATAGATTAGTCATTGGATTAATCGACTAATCGAAAAAAATAATCGTAAAAATGTCTGTGTATTTCTTTTAATTACCCTAAAGCAAACATTTCATGTGTCCAACTAAAAGTTTGCAATGTAGTGAATGACAATGAATATTTCTATTGCGTCGGCAGAAAACAATCATGTTGAGATTATGTATACTATAAATGTTTAAGTGTAAAGATTGACAACGGTCTACAACGCAGGGTGTTTACTATGTCTCGTACTCTTCCGGTCATCAAGTTTAGCTAGCTAGCTAACGTTAGCTAGGTTAGCTGCTCATTTGACTAAAACCAGCGACCAGTCGCAGTTGCTAGGCAACAGAATAACAATCGGGAAACCTACTTGGTGACGGCATGACCCGCCCTACTCCACCTCTGATTGGTTAGTACTCTTTACCTTCGTTGGTTGGATTGGTTACATTTAGGCATTAGGAGTGCGATTGGTTAGAGTTCAGGGTAAACCAATCAGAAGAGAGTAAGGCGGGTCTTAACGTTGCCCCGTAACAGGAAAAAAAAGTTCACCGGGCAAGCATGACGGAGGACAAGCAAAGCGCAGGTCCGTCCGCGTCAGCTACAGGTGTGTACCGTCCGTCAACTAGTGTCAATTCTCCTGTTGAGGCAGCAATAAACGCGCCATATTGATTTGGTTAGCGGTAGTTGAGCGTTGTTTGCTTGACAGACTTGGAGTTGTAACGGTAACTCTTGGCTCCGCTCCCGGTTCTCCCTCTCCTCTCTCCTCTCTTATCAGAGCCCCTAGTGCCAGACGTCCACAAGAAGATTAAAGCAGCGTTTACAGCGTTTGACTATGAGTCTAACAACAAAGTGGATGTCAGGTGAGCTCCAACTGTTTTACACAGAGAGAGGTGGTGATGTTGTCTCCTGATAAACTCACTCCTCTCAACTCTTTAGGTCACAACTCATAACTTCCAACGCAGTAAATATGAAGATAGAGTTAGCAATATTAGACAATGTCTATTCAACAAAACAGGTTACTGTACGCTTACTTACTTAACTCCATATTTACATTCATCCCATGCTGTTGTAGGTCTTTATGTTCAATAGTGTGGTCTATAGATAACATGGAGTTTGATTCCCAGGGAGATTGGCACCATCATCTATTCCCTGGGGTGCTTCCCCACTCAGGCAGACCTTCATGACATAATAGCTGAGGTGAGAACAGTGCTTACCTATTTTTTGCTCATTGTTTTGGATGAATAAAAGAACCGGTCATCTCATCATGGGAGGGGTATTTACATATATCGGTCACGCGACAATATCTACTGTACCTGGATGTCATTGTATGAAAATGTGCCAACAGGTTTCGACATCAACCGTCGCCCGTGGCCACTTTATCTCCCCTGTAGGCGGCCCTCTGTGGCCACCAAGTTTAATCAGGTCTCTCTTGAGAATAAGAGACTGTTTTCAATCAATATAAATAATTACATGTTTTTTATTCTGTTAATGTTTTTTGCTTTTTCATTTATTGAAGTGTCACAGTTAATGAAGGCTGTGTTAGGTTCCATTAAAATGCCTTGTCTGTTTGTACAGAAGTTTACATTTGGGCTACAAAAATGTAGTGTTTTAAAATAATAGCGCCTATTCCACTATATATATTCGTTTTTTGAAAATTGCATTTATTGTTTTTTTTTTTTGCTGCAATGCAGCTTGATATAAATTGATATTATGATCAGTTTTGTCAGAACATTCTCAGCTTGTTGTTAAAAAGGCCCAAAACTCAGCAACAGTCCTGTTCAGGTTGAGGAGGACCACACTGGATTCATCCCTGTGGACAAGTTCCTCCCAGTCATGACCAAAGTGCTGCTGGAGCACAAGTAAGACATGATCTCTTATCTCTTATACAAACTCTTGCCTGAGGCCGGCCATGTTGTTTTATATATCTACCTGAATTAATTAAGATGCTGAATTTTGAGGTTGAGAAGAAGGGCCGTGTCGTGATGCAAATAGGTGCTTGTGTTGAAGCAAATCATTAAATTATGCTGCAGGACTTTCAGCTAGATGTTACTGTGGGAGCAAGTGAATGACCTGACTCTGGTGAAGGTTTTTTGAGATTGCTTTTATATTTGGTAAATATAATGAGGTAGGTACTTGTAGTGTTTCGCAGAATATCTGTGCGGTGAAAAAGTCTACAAAGGCCACCACTGTGCACGTCTTTTAAAACGGGTTTTAAAGTGTATACTTAGTAATAATGTTTCCACCTCTGGCGACATTTCAGCTTCACATAAAACCGGTGAAAACCTTGGGATCCCTTTTAATAAAATGAGCACAGTGCAGTTCAGTTTTTTTGTGTAAACTGGGCCTGGAAATTCCTAATATATGCTGTGTTAATTCCATCGTGTTTCATCACAGTGTTTTTGTTACATCATGTCAATACCATCTACTACGGTGCTGCCACACTACAGGAACAGACACAAATAGCAATTGTGTGTGTGTGTGTGTGTGTGTGTGTGTGTGTGTGTGTATTAGGTTCCCTCCCATCCCAGAGGACCTGCTGCTTCAGGCCTTTGAGGTGAGATAAACTTCTGTTTCCTCATATTCTATCCCATTCATATCCCAGTGTTGTAGTACCAGTGACTGCACAGCTTCTATACAAATGAAGTAGGAGTTTGAGCCTCTGACTATCACACTGTCACCAGAGTAATATCACAATGTAAGTTACTGATATTTGTGTCTCCAGGTTCTGGACAAAGAAAATAAAGGGTACCTGGAGCTTGAGGAGCTGACAAAGTACATGACGCAGGAAGGTAAAGCAGGAGCTTTCAGTTCTCACCTTGTGATGTTTCACGCGTGTTGAAAAGCAGATCTTTTCATAGATCGGTTTTATGTGTCTAACATTAGTTCCACAAAACAGCCTTTTAATGTGCAAACTTTTCTTCTTCTTTTTCCATCACGGCTGTGTTTAAACCAGGTGAGCTCTTCACTCAGGAGGAGAAGGATGAGATGCTGACGGCACTCGCTGACCATGAGAAGAACCTCGTCTATTACAAAGACTTGATCAGCCAGTTGACCGTTGACCCTGACATCTAGGCAATGTCACAGTGTGTCTGCATAACTGTTGAGAAGTCTGTGTGTGTTTGGCGTTTGTGTTCATGTCTGCAGGTTATTAATGCAGGCTAGTAGTTCTAATATGGTATAATAAATAAATAAATGTTCGTATCTCAATCTTGACCTTGTGTTTACAGAATTGTCTTTCAGTTCAGATTAAATACTATAAGTGCTCAAACTGGCAGAATTTGAAAAAATGTATTAATGCAGGAGAGGTCCTTTATTTAGATCGACCCTACAGTAGTTTCATGCCCCCCCTCCATTTACATATTGTACCCAACCTAATTTATAATTTCGAAATGTCTTATTTCCAGTCAACATCTTATTGGCAGAAGATGTTATTACCCATAACTCCAAGGGGCCGCCTCGGCCATATCAAATCCCAAATTAGAATAATTAAAACAATTCAAAATGTGAAAACAGTGTCTAGCAAATGCCTCTGATGTATAATCTATATAGTATATAATAATGATAAATAAAGGTTCACAGGGGAAGTCCAAAATAACTATCCTTACCAATCTTCTGATATCATTACATTAAGTGTCTGTTTCTGGCCAGGGGCGGGTGGGAGGAATCAACACACTGCTTTTGTTTGTAGTTCACCCAAAGTCAGCACCATGTGAAGCGTCAGTGTTTGGGAATATTTTCTACCTGCTGACCGGGCACAGCAGGGAGTGCTGTTGTCATCCTTATCAGTGAGTCAGGGCTGCGAGCACCTTTTTACACACATGCTATGGTGTGGAGTCATGAAGCGCTGCTCAAGCGCTGATCAATCACAATCCTCACATGTTGTCCTGTAAAGTTTAATTAAATTTTATGAATTTAGGTTTCCACATGGTATCACAGATGTTTGTGTTAACCAAGCAGAAAGCTGGCATGACATCCAACACATAGCAATAGCTATATATGTGTATTTATTTATATATATATATATATATATATATATATGTACAGTGGATACATTAGTAATTGTGTTTCTCCGCCCCTTGCTTTAACTTAATTTTGGTGTTCACAAAATCCCTCAGAAGCATATCTGGTTCTCCAGCTGCTAAATGCTCCACTGTGCTCACCAGCGAGTCTCTGTTGTGTCTGTTTGTTGCTGAGCAGGTAGTGTGCAGAGGGGGTTTTCTAGAGCTTTTTGTACTGAAAACAGCAGCCTCCGGGAAGAAGGTTGCTTGTGAGAGCAGAGCGGCAAACCAGTAAAACAAGTTATGCAGTGAATGATACATGAATCGCTGGCGGTGATCTGCACTCTACAGAGTGCACTTTGTTTTACTTCCGTCATAGGTCAATAAGACTTATCCAGAGGCTAGCTGTCTACCTTCAGTAGACCCAGTATTCACTCTGGGTCACAATGCATCTCTTCTCTCTCTGGGTATAAAGTGCAACTCCATTAGACCTGATCAAGATGCAGATCTTGTAATTATCAATTCATGATTACTAGCTGCTAAGTCCCATTTACAAGATACGGAAGTTATGACTATACGAGAAAACGCCTTCACCGTTCTTTTTTATTTTTGTTTTGGCGAGTGTGTAACTGCTTCTATGTACTGTACCTGTCCTCAAGCTGTGGCTGAGTGTTTTTAGTAGCGCCCTCTGTTAGCCCTGCCCGATCAAATACCTGATTCGAGAACTAGTCCAGAATCTTGTGTCCTCCATATCAAAAGAGTCAACACTACTTTCCACTGTTCAGTTTTTCAAATAGTTCATTTGTGTGAATGCACCAGATTCCACGGCCACTGCTGCTACCAGGTACCTCCTTATGTGCAGTATACTGACAATCATGGCATCATTTTACAATTGGAAATATAACTTATATGGCTAAGGTTGATGTCATTCTTCATTTCCTTTGAAACGCAGTTTATATAAAGAGGAACCATTGTACTCTGAGAAAAGCACAGATTAACACACTTTGTTTCCTTCTCGTTTATCTGAAATCGTACTGGTTTAAACGAAGCGAGTACTGGGTTTCCCCACAGTCTGCAGTTTCTTTTACACACAAGCAGTCAGTGGTGGCAAAGTATTCAGATACTTTTACTAAATAGTAGTAATACTGCAATGTAAAAATGCTCTGTTAAGTATCAAAAGTAAAAGCTCTCCTTAAGAAAAATGCCCCTTTTCATAGAGTTACAGTATTATACACATTATAGAATGAATGCATTATCATTATGAACAGCATTTAAAAGCTGGTCGAGGTGGAATATTTTGTATCATCATCTGTAACTATGAATAACTATGAATGTAAAATGAATGTATATATTATTATATTTTTCTGAAGTACAATATTTATCTTCAAAATACAGTGGAGTATAACAAGGAAGAAGTCAAATATAGCACAAGTACTTTTTAATTGTAGTTCTCCACCCCTGCTTACAGTCTAGATACAGAAATTAATAGAAAACCAGATTATTGTTGACCCCATGTTGACCTTTGCATACACCTAACCCGTAACCCATGAACATGGCTGGTTGGGTTTTAAGGTTTTTACCCTGTTAAAGTATAGTACAGTTTGGAGAGTTGGAACCAGCAGATACAAACTAGTATATACTATTGATACATGGTTCCCCCTACATTTGAATGTGTAATGAGATTATACTGTGTTGGTTCATGGGCTGCATAATGTTCTTTTCATTTAAATAATCAGAATTCTTACAGACATAAGCCATGGACTGTGCTCATTTTACACAGGAACTCACTACTGTTGTTTCGCAATCGGATATCAAAATAAAAGAGGGCCTAAAATGGTTTGTTTTCACAAGAGAACAAAGACTTTTTTTACCACCTCTGTTCACTGTGCTCAAAATAACATGGTCTTGTTCAGTGTAGCCACCTTGCCAGAGACAGGTTGGGCACAGTTCCTTCTGTGGTAAAGGCCATTTTATTGTGTTGCCCATGTGGAACACTGATGTTTGCTGTATGGAAGGATGCAGAAGCGTGTCGAAAGGTGTGCAATGTTTACACTGTCTAGGGAGTTTCTTACTTCGAGCTCACTGAAATACCAGTTGAGTAACATTAAGGTTCCAGGGAAGACATCCAACCATTTTATTGTTAACCACCACACCTCTCTATCTCTGTTTGTGACAATATGCATAAGCAGGTTTGGTCTTCACCATGTTTGTCCACTTAGCTTAGCGTGTTACCATGCTAAGCAGTGTTAAACATAAGTACAGCTGAGACTGATGGGAATGTCCTTAGTTTTGCAGATATTTGGTCAAAAAACTGAATTGACAAAATCATCAGGGAAAAATAGAAATGTTGACCTGATCACCAAGTCACAATAGTTCATCCTGAGGTGAACATAAATGTGTGTTTCAATTCAATTTCAATCCGTCCAAGGCGTCCACCATAAACCAAAATCAGTAGGATTCATCCTCTTGGCACTAAGAAAACCTGTGCAAAAGGAATGAAAATCTATCCAATAGTTGTTGAGAGTTGTTGAGATGTGTCAGTGGGGGATTGACTGACTGACATTACTGTCAACACATATTTGCTTGATTGTTCACAAACATTAGCCTGATTAATCACTAACATATGACTCACATTTGGGCCCTACATCACCAGTCTTTGGAATAAACTATGAAAAATAAAGAACTTACAAAAAAAAAATTCTGTGATGTTTGAGTGTTTCAGCAAACGGGGCTTACATGTTGCCAGTAAAGTTGTTTTGTCTGTCTGTCCCGATTTTTAAAACTTCTTGATAAATTTCCTTGAAACAATGACCCACACTGATGACACTTTGATACAAAGCCTCTTATATTTTTATGAGGAACACCTTGGATGTTCATGGTGAAAAAATGTATTCAAAGTATTGGATAAAAAGTCATAGTATAGTATGTCAATAAATGTATTAGAGTAAGGTAATAGAGTCATAGTATAGTATGTCGAAAAAAGTTATTATTTAGTTGGTCGAAAAAAAGTCATTAAAAGTCAAATTACATTTAACGAAATAAAATCTGAAAAAATCATCGTATGTTGAAATATAAGTCACAGTATAGTATGTTGAAAAAAGTATTTTTAAAAGGCACAGTTAGAAAGTGCTTTACATATTAGAGAAAATACACAGATACAGGGATGCATATCAACTTATTTTATTATCATATGCACAACAATTACAGAGAAGCAGCCGTTGGCAATGTAAATCCTCTCCAAAAATACTCATTACAAATGTATAAAATAAAGTAGTAATTTACATTTGTGATAGACACACATACATACAATTACATCTGCATGACAGACAAAAAGTAAAGCACAAAATAAACACAACTACAGGCACACAGAGTATACACAACGAGTTTTCAGCAGATGCTTTCCAAGGACTTGTACCTAATTAGTAATATTTTGAAATCAATCCTGTGTTTTATTGGATGCCAGTTAGGAGAGGCATTGGGGTGATGCGTCTTTACCGCTGCATTTTGCACCAATTGAAGGCGAGGTAGAGAGGACTGAGTAATGCAAGTAAAGATGGAGTTACGGTAGTCTAAGCGATGAAATATTAAGGTACAAGGCTGTGTACACATGATAGCTGCTAATTGGCTTTTGCTAACAGCAAGCGGTATCAAGTCCATAAAAGTCCAGATATTGTACAGTATTACAAGGTTACAAGGTGTTTTATGTCATTGTACAAAAGGGTTGCACAACTAAATTCAGATTCAGGAAAAATACAAGAAATGACTAATTATATAATTACAAGTAGGATTTACTCATTTCTACACATGTATATATGTATATATGCTACCGTCCTGACTGAGACCTACCTCAAGTAATCTACTCTAAATACTCTGAGCACATTATCAGAGACAATCAAGTGACGACTTCATAGCAATCGTCTTCCCACTGACAGCATAACGTGAAAAGACAACATATTAACATAAATAATAAATATATAAACTTTTTTTTTTTTTTTTTTTTTACTTAATACATTGTTTTCTTGTTGTGTTAATGACGGAGTGGGAATGCCTGTTAACTTGCTCCTATTGCACAAAGCTGCATCAGTATGAGTCCATGTTAAAGAGAGGCCTAGAGACCAACACTGGGTTGTTTCTGAGTGGCTGCAGCACTCTTCACGTGCTTACGTTTGGGACTGCGTGTGCTCTGGTTTGAAGTAGACATAGGTGGACCAGGAGTCCATCTGGGAGTTCATCCACTTGCCGGGGTCATGGTTCTCCATCTGCTCCTCGGCCTCCTCTTCCTCACTCAATCCGTCGACTTCATCTTCATCCGAGCCTATCTTCTCTGTGCTGCCCCCATTGACACGAGACACCTCTGGGGCCTCCGTCGTCGTCGTCGTCGTCGAGAGACTTGAGTGACACAAGGTGCAGACCCTCAAGCACTTAGTCGGGTGAATGTGTCGGATCACCGCTCGCTTCTTGGAGCAGGCACCACAGACCACAAAGCCGCATTTGCGGCAGTGGTGTCGACGCTGGGTCACGGTGAACCTGTCGGAGCAGCGCATGCAGACCGCGGAGGCCTGGTCAGGGATCCAGGTGTTGGCGAAGTGGGACCCGGGCCGGCAGCCACTGCTCTGCAGTAGACTGGACCGGCAGTCCACTATGTGTTCGATCCAGGCTCGCTTCTCCTCGTATGAGGCGGCTGACACGTAGAAGGACTTGCGTGGTGTACGGATCAACCATTGGTTCCTCATTTTTATGCCGTCCTCCAAGTCCTCAAGCTGGCTTTCCTCTGAAATAAAAAAATTAAATGAAAATTAAATAACAGTACAATTCAAATGGAATAAGTCGGAATAAGGTCACAGAGTCAGTCGTTGAGCGTGTATACATTGCATACATTCTACATCATCCAAATTAAACTATCTAGGGATCATTTTCTGCTTCCAATTGTTGGACTTTACTTCAGTGATGCTATGATATGAATGAGTGAGGAGTGATTCCAAACGTGCAGTAAAGTCATGCACTTTGACTGATGGGACTGATAAGTCCGTGCAGACCAAAAAAAAGTTTTTTCTTTTATGGTTGAAAAATATAAAAATTGTTCTCACAATCAGATTAGAGTCACATATAATGCATGTCAAAAACACAACTACTTTAGAACAGTGAGTTGTAAATGCAACAGTTCGATTTTTTTTGTTAAATATAACCAGTTTGACCAGTTTGACCTGTGCGACAAGAGGCCCCGCTCTCCCCTGCACCTGCACTTTGTGTGTAGCCTACTTTTTTTGTGTAATCTCATTTGAAACTGCAAATGTTGAATACACACAATGCATTTTAAATGTTTTGAGATGTTCAAAGATACAAAAAAAATAAATAAAAACATTTGAGTAACTGTTTTATCAAAGTAAAAGGTGCAATATTGTCAATGTTCGACTTGAAGTAATCCAAAAGTAATTCAAGTGTATTCAGATTAGATTTCTTTTTTTTTGGTAATCCAATAGCTTCATTTCATGATGACAAAAGTTGCCATGTAATTTGTATACTGTAACTGCCTACATTTCAAAGTAATCGGACCCAACCAGCACTGGTTACCTGTTGTTTTCCTTCTTTTTTGTGAGTCTAAGGTACTTTCCTTTTCTTTTGTTTACTGTCAAAGCATTTGACAACCCTAACAATGATCAAACAATGATGCATTATCTCTCCCCTCAGGTGTGTCTGTGTTGCTCACCGAGAGGGATGATCTTCTGTTTTTTGTACCAGCGGCCGTTCAGAATGATGCTGCCGTACACCAGCACGTCGTTGAAGAGGAAGAAGACTTTGGGCTGTGGCCCACGACGGCTCATCTTCATCAGCCGGCCCTCTCCGATCAGAACCCGATCCGGCGCGTACAGAGGCTTCCCCGACGGCCCGAACGAGTTCTCCACGGCGTGGATGCGGTCCCGGTTATCCTGGGCAAACATAAGCTGGTTCACCATGGTGCCCATTTGTATCTAGTTGACAAGTCAACAAGAGCGCTGTTGTCAGTGGGCTGTTGTTGTTTTGTTGCATATAGTTCCACGTTCCTGTAGGTGTGAGACGCTGTCCTGTGCTCGTGCAGTCTTCCTAATGACACAAGCTGCTGCGCACAGGCGCTTTTTGAAGTCTTGGTGACGCGTCGTGGTGACATAATAGCACTTCCCGAAACAAGAGCTTTAAGACGAACCCATGTTGATAGATGTTAGGGTGGGGGAGCTATATTTGAATTTCCCATCTGCTGGGCGTTGTACACAAGTCACGTCTTTAGACTGAATCTATTTGACTACCAGGAAGGACTTCGGGTCGAAAGGTTTTTTGACAGACGGTTAATTCAAAAGAACCTGTGTCTTTCCACAATGCACTCCATCACCAACTATTTAGTGATTGGACACCTTTATTTTAAATTCACCAACTGGTGAATTTAAAATAAAAGTTGCATTAAACACCTGGGCAACAGTGTATTACTATATACCGAGGTTATACATGAGATAATACTAACTGTTTACTGGCCACAACATATATCATCATATTGTGCGGCATACAAAATGTCATCGAAAAGTCATGGTATTATATGGCATAAAAAAATGTCATAGTACAGTATGCCATTAGTATTGTCATAGAAAATGAAAAAAAAGTCCTAGTTTACTTTACAGTGACTTTAAAAAAAATATAGTAACTGATTACTAAATCTAGCCTACAATTCTTTACAAATACTTTGAAGAGAGTAGGCAATAGAAATAAGTCGGTAGTTTGTGCACATCATCTTTTAATCACCAGACTTAAAGACACAAAGTACAGCAAGGTCGACAGAGTAAACAGGAGGCTCAATTTCATTCATAATAGCTATTGGAATTTTGCTCCAGACTTCATCTGCACCAGCTTTATGGGAGCTTTTCATATTCATAACGATGACTTTAGAGACTTTGCTTCTAGCATTTAGCGATCAAAAAGAATGAATTCAAATAATGGCCTTGAAGAATATTAACTGAGAAGCACTCTTTGTTTGGATTATTTTGTTCGCGAGATTTTCATCTAAGGAGATAAAAAAAGAATTGAGCAAACTGTCAGCAAGATCAGTAGACGGTGTCAACACCATCGCTCGCTTTGTGTTTTACTTTGGTGTCAGGAAGCGCAGAGGTGTTGTGGCCCCGGCTGAGGACTCTTTCAGGATCGCTTTTGGTCACAAGATGCTTTAATAATATAGGTGGAGTGTTTTCTCCATGGTTGGGCAGTAACTGATTACATGTAATCAGTATTATGTACGTCAAAATAACTTTCTTTTGTGCCAATTTTATAACATCAGTCATTTGACTGAATCTATTTGACTTCCAGGTGGGAATGTTCTGACGGACTAAAAACTTGCATTCTACACCTTTTTAAACATCTCGGCAACAATATGTGATATTGAGGTATATACACGTCATAATAACCTGTTTAGTGGCCACAAAATATATTTGTAAGACACAAAAGTGAAAAAACAAAGAGCAGTGGGATCTTTTCAACCGTTACCAGAAACTACAGAGTAAAACAGACAAGAGCTCATATTTCACAAACAGGTGTGGTTTTTGCTCAGCCAAGCAGTTGGAGTGGCGTTGGGTGGGAAGGAAAGAAACTGATGCCAAAGTTTGATGCCACCCTCATTCTTACACAAAAACAAACATTACCGGTAGGAAGCTTTTTTTACACGGCTTCTCGGTGCGTTAGTTGGCATTGCACAATACTTAAAATACACGTTGGCAACACTTCCATTATGTACTCCAGGAGCGTTGCAAAGGGGGCTTTCTGATATGTGCATTATATTGAGATGTATTCTCGTCTTTCTTCACACAATGCACCTGAAAAGTCTGGATTCTGCAGTCTTAATCTCAATCAGATAATCTGATCCGAGTAAAACCGCTGTGTGTGTGTACGCCTTTCTAGCAAACCCACACAGTTATCTTTCAACAGCAAAAAAGAAAAGAAAAATAAATTGTTTCTGCTCTGTCAAAGCAAACACTGCTCCAAGTCAGCCGTGTCAATATCTGGTTGGACTGGTTCTCTCGAAAAGGAGGCAGTCTGGGAAACAACCAGGAATTTGAGAGAAAAAAACGTGCACTCAGTTGCTTGGGCATCCCCAGCAGCAGGTGAAGGAGTTCAGATAACTACACAGACAACGATACACGGCTTATAGTCAGCCATGTTTCACGTTTTTCTGTTACAAAAGAGTGCAGTATACTTGTGTGGTTACAACAAAATGTTTGCTTTGTTCTCTTCTGTACAATACCCGATAAATAATAAAACTAATTTTTCTCCATCCGGCTGCCTACATGAGCTAATTTTTTACGCTTTAAATGTCATGAATCAGCTCAATGGCACCCGTTAACGAGAGCTAAAGAAACTCCTTCACTCCACTGCGAGCAGACGTCTGAAAAAGAACACAGAGAGCTAAAGACTGAGACTGGTTCACTGCTGTTATGCACTCAAGCAACAGTTTATTCAGAGCAGCGCATGAGAGTTAGTTTGCTGAAACAGTTGTTTGAAACTTAAGAGTCGAGAACGTTTGACGATTAATTATCGTGTTTTTCTATTAAAATTAATTTTAAAAAAAACAAAAAAAAACTTCAGTTCTCACGTTTGAGTTTCATTTTTTTTGTCTCAACGTGAAGCAGCCGTAAAAAGGCCTGAGTACAATACAATTTTAAATGATAAAAAAAAGTATGCATTTAATTTCAGAAACATTAGGTTGAAAATAAATAAATAAATACTGTCTCTGGAGCCAGTGTCTACTCTGCACTCAGCCAAAGACGTTTGGAGCAGAGGAAGCTCCGCTCTGTAACACCACGCTTCAGTCTGAGTGTTTCTGTAGTTCCCACAACTCCAACAGAGTGAGACGTCTCCTCTTTAGCTGATCGCCTCACGTCAATTTCAGGTTCCTGATAACACCAGCAGGGTTATTTTCTCAGACTTGACAAAGCTACTTACACAGAGGACATTATACAGCTGTTATCACTGGCTGATTAGTACTCCCCATGACAAGTAAACTGAGAGTGCCATTATGGTGGAGTTCGGCTTTAATATAAAGTGACACCTATTTGTGAAAGTCGTCCATATTCGGTTTGGTGTAAACAGAACCAAAAACTGAAATATAATTTTTGATGACCTCAATGCATCTTCGACACATCGGTCACCGTTGTTGCAGTTCTTTGTGTCTTCTAGTAGAAGGCAGTAGGAGTCTGATGATGCCTCTCTGCATCATGCTGCGTCCTGTGGTGACACCTCACAAGTCGATGGTTCCTCTCACTTTGAACTTCTTGGCGGAGCGCTCGCTGGCTCGCTGCTCAAACTTGCTCCCGTAGATGTGCGAGACGAAGCCGTTGACCTCCACTGCAAACACACTGTTCCTCTTCGGGATCACTGCGACAGAACAAGAGCAGGGTGTCAAAGCAGGTGCGCGGACGGACACCGCCCAAGACCGCAAGGCTTCCTCGTGATTCGGCTGCAAGAGCATAATATTGTTGTGTGACAGAAATTCTGATATGGCGGGTCAAAGTTCTCATATCAAAATGAATGATAAGAATTTTACTAAAATTGGTTGAACTTTTTACCATGTGCTTTTAAAAAGGTACTTTAAACGGTATTCAGAGCATTAATATAGCAGCAAACAACTATTTGCCATGTCTACCCGAGGAGAAGTCACTCTCCCTGTGTGTGTGTGTGTTGTAATCCGAGCTTCTCCTTGCTTTGTTGACATAGCAAGTCCAGCCAAGCGTGCTTTTAGTGCAAGTCATCGTGCCCTAACTGGCCAGCTCGTGGCCGCCACCCCCCACTGCTCTCATACGGCGGTTACAGCTGATAACGCCGTCCTGAGGAAGCGTAGTACGACCCTCGGGTTCCCTCTCAGATAAACACCGTTAGCTCTGTCAGCACTGTTGCCATTGCTTTGTAGATGCTTTAGAAAGAGGTTTTAAAAATCTTCATTTGAGTAAATAATTTATTAATTATTATTTATTAATAATGCAGCGCACAGCTCAAAGGGTATAAACGCCTCCGTTCATGCTCAGAGCTCGTGCTCCTTCTGCGGAGGCTCCCCCCTGATTATACACCCCTGTCGTGCATAGCGAACCTGAGTAGATAGAAAGTAGAAAACCTGTTGAATACCAGTGCAAGCTCTGATGCTTGTAGTACTACCATGTAGTCGTCGTGACGTCACCCGTTGGTTTGTGGACTGCCGTTTTTAAGTGTTTTGCAGTCTTACCTTTCAGTTTGTCTTCTTTGGTGATAATTTTGAAGATGTGTTTAAACTCTTGGACTAGAATCCCTGTGGCGCCGACATATGACGGGCATTTAGAGCGGACCACTGTGAGAGAGAGAAAAGAAACATACTATTAGTACAGCGCTGTCACAGCTGTGTCTGCGCTCAGAGAAATGCATCCAGATGATGGTCTTCAGGAACAACAGGTACAATAAAGCACAGGCGACATTGTTCAACATGATATACACCATTCAGTAGGTCACATATCACATTTACACTGTGTTAAAACATGGCTCACAGTCCTGCCATATCTCAACCAGGCAGTGAGATGGATCATTGACAGTTATTTTCTTCATAAAGACAACACAGCACTAAACCGACCCCACGCTGTTGCTTTAATAGGCGGTACGCTTTGGTGGATAATCTTTGAGCCAAATTTGATGGCTTTACACACATTACATGTTGCTGTCTTGCTTTTCTGTGTTTCGAGACTAAAATATATCCAAACTAATGACGTGTAAAGGTTAGCCAACCCAATCGGTTTAGAGAAGACGTAAAAGATCTACCTGTGATGATGGCACCGTGGAAGTCTGCCTTCAGAAGCTTCTGCTGCACAAACTGTGGACTGCTGTAAAAAACACAATACAACAGACGAGGCTTCAGAAATCGCTTCAAACTGGCAGTGAACGAGGAATCTGCGGCGATCCAAACTGATTTACCACGTTGGTTTCAATCCGTTACACAGGTCAATGACGTACTGTCTCCAGAGTTCATGCAGAGGCAGGAAGAGCTCGTATCTGTGATGGACAAAGACAGTGATGATGGGGAGAGGGGAGGGCCGAGGTAAACAACTGGCTAAATGGGAAACGTATCGCAATCAATTTAGACTGTTTTGATGCGGTCATGTTCCAAACACATTTTTTTCCTCTTTAGGTGCACAATGACTGCTCGTCCTTCAGAGGCGTCACCGACCTCTGGTGTTCAGGCTTGATCTGGAAGATCTTCATCGCCCTCTTCTGCCGAGCATTGAGTCCTTTGGCTCTCTTGCTCTTCCTCTTGGACTTGTCCTTCTTGGGCCTGGCGTAGCCCAGCACCACCGCCTTGTGAGTCAGCATGGTCTTCAGATTATGGTGCGAGTTCGGTTTAATGCTGTTCTTCAGGAACGCCTGGGTGAAGGCCTCGGCTTTATATCTGGTCCGAGACTGGAAATAAGAGAGTGACATTTACAGAGATGTGAAATGTAGTTTTTATGTCTTATCTTGTAAACAGTATTGGGGAAGCTACTTTAAAAAGCTTTTTAAGCTTCCAATTACTTCACACTGGAAGAAGTTGAACTACAGCTAAGCTATCCTAGGGAAACATCTAGTTTGGTTAATTAAAGCTACTTTAAAAAGTAGTTGAAAGTATTTTGTAAAATAAAATATAACAAAATATTATGTTTTTATCACCTCACACTTGTATGCCTCTCTGAACCAGACAAGTTGCAGTTTACATCCATGTCTGTCCAAAATGTCCTCACTTCATCATTTCATCCTCTGAGACATTTGTATGATATTGTCATAATAAGCATATGAATTTTGGAGTTATGGTCAAAAACATTGACCTTTGACAACCAAATTAATCAGTTCATACTTGAGTCCAGATGGACGTTCGTGCCAAATTTGAAGAAATTCCCTCCAGACGTTGCTGAGGCAATCGCGTTCACGAGAATGGACCGGACAGACGGACGGACAACCCAAAAACATAATGCCTTTTTTATTTATTGGTTTATTTGATAAGGGAGAGTGCCCATTTCTGTAAATGCGCCACAGTTAGCCAAGAGGCTATTTTTCATCTGTAGTCCCAAGAGGCAGATGTTACAAAATAAACCTAAAAACAGAATATAAGTGCCTAGATTACATCTGAAGGAAGTCCGTGGTATTAAACGGCAGTCTGAAAAAGATTCAAGGCACTCTGACAATTGCATTTCTTTAAATAAGTGCCCACTAGTTCAAAGGTCAAAAATATAAAATACCCTATTCTATTCTTTATTCAAATGACACCTTTTTAGACTGTTGACTGACTTATGTAGTAGTAGTATAAAATGGCCCTGCTGTTTTACTTGCTAGTTTTTGTAGCATCTCACTTGTGCAATCTTAAAAACTAAAACAGTCTTAAACTTGGTGAAGATGAAGATGATGAAGATGATGAAGCGGTTGCTGTGTGAGCACTGAGCAAAGCCCGGCCTTTAGGCACATGCAAATGCTGACGAAAGGATTAAAATAAACCTTTATGTCGATAAACGTATATTTAAAAAGAGAACATCAACATATTTTTTGATGATCGCGTGTAGACAAATATAAAATGTCAGAAAAATATGGAAAATTAATTTTCCAGTTTCAAATGTCTTCTTGTATCCAACCAACAGTCCAAATGCAAAGATATTAATTTGACTATCATTACATGATCATTTAGTTAATGAAGGAAGGCATCCCATCCTCATATTTTAAAAGGTGGAACCAGCAATTTGTTTTTTGTTTTTCTAGAAAAATGACAAAAACAATGAACTGATTATCAAAATAGTTGCTGATTTTTTTAATCTCATATCACTCGCTTTTCTGCAGTAACATCTTTGCACAACATGACTGGAAACTGCATGAGATTACATATCTGGAATACACATTTCATAGTTACACTATACAGCACATCCCTTGTGAACATAGCGGTGTCTGCCTACCTCAACACAAAGAACCTTCACCAGATCCTGAGGAATGGTGGCTCGAACAAGCGCTTCTGTTGAACAGGACAAACAAAACCAGTATTACACACAAGCTAACCAACTTACTGAGGTACTGGATCAGAATGCAGGAGAGGCTGTTGGCTCTCCTTAACCAAACATGTGAAAAAGCATTCAGCTCACATCATGCACCATTCATTTGCATAATGTACTTCGTGACAATACTGCAAATGCTAGAGTTAGATATCACTTTGACACCTGTCGGTACAAACACTGAGAATGAGCTGAAAATCTAAATGTCAGGTGTCGAGGTTGGTGATCAAATTGATTTGGATTGGTTGACAAAAATAGCCGTCCAGGAATGAGCTAATTTTGTTGTTTCTTTGGGCAGGGACTTCCCTGTGGCACTGATGAATGAGGTTATCAGTTGTCCAACGACAACCTCTCCAGTCTTAATCTCAGGTCTGGGTACATGTCGTACATTCTCTAATTGTAGAGCCTCAAGGGAACCAAATTAAAAGTTGCTTTTAAAGAGGAGACTGGGGGAGGGAGGGAGGGTGTGAGAGTGTGAGAGACACAGATTACAGATCTGTCTGACTAGTTATAAAAATCTCACTCACTTCCACTCGCACTGATAACACATTTAAAAAGTTCAGACAGAGGCTGACGACCTGTTTCAGACTAAGCGTCTTTCTCTGTGGGGACAGCTGGGTGTCCAACCTCAATATATTTCAGTGCAGACTGAAATGTTAAGTTTCAAAACTGACACTAAAATCTGCCATTGAGTATTTGGTCTGAGATATAATCTTATTTATTTACTCTTTGATCAGACACTTTAAGGTTTCAATTAAAATCTGAAATTTGAAGGCAAAGTTCTTGCTCAGCAGCTACATTTAATGTGTGGCGTCTTTTGTTAAAGCTGCCTTAATCACTTTTTTAGCGACTTGGGGGCAAAACTCCACGAACAAAAAACTCTCACGTTGGACGCGTAGAGGCCTTGCAGAGGTGATATACCCGACGAGTTCAGCAACCTACCGCCTGTTAACACATCCAGCGGAGGAAGATTAGCGTTCATTTGTACCTGAGACATGTAAGACCCGGACCACACTGGTCACGCGATCAGCGAGTGTGCATCGCAGAACCTCTCGCCGTCGCCATCTTGGATTATGCCCGTCGCCATCTTGGATTGCTGCAACCATATTTGGAATGCGGAGGAGTGACGTAGAGATGCCGTATACGGCAGCGACCTGTCAATCACAGTAAGCCCGCCCTAAAGCATACTCTGCTTTATGGTCTACTCTAAATGGAACCGAACCCTGAATAAAACATTTTTAAGCAACCAAATTGATTAGAATTAACCTTAATGAACTGAAAACGCACCGTGAAAGGGTTCAAGTTGTAAGACGAAAACACAGACAACTCCCAGACCAGACAACGCTGTGGTAGCGACCTGTCAATCACAAGTTAGCCACGCCCTAAAGCATCCCTTGCTTTATGGTCTATTTGACTCTAAATGAGACCATAAATTCCAAAATGAACATCATGTTGTATTGAGGAACACTTGAAAGTAGAGATGGAGACCATAAACTTATGTTTTCAATGTTTACTGAGGGAATACATCGAGAGAAGTAGAGTCATTTTGAAATTGAAATCAAATCAAACATCATGGCCATTATGAGGCAACTTATGTAGAATAGAAGCGCTGGCAGTAGCCGTAGCCCCGATACAATATTCACTTTTTTAGCTCCGCTTTTGGTCTCTTGGGAAATATCTGGTTCTTTAGCTGCTAAGGGTTCCACTGTGCATATTTTCACTGAAAACAGCTGGCTGCTACTGCTGGAAAGCAGAAACCGGGTAAATGAGAGCAGAGAGACTGAAGTTGTGGGCCGTGAAACCAAAACAACGAGCTTAAAGATGCTAAAACGCTCCTTAGGCCGGAGATATACTTAATGTTTAGCATGAGACATCCATTGAAAGTTACTTGCATGTCGCTCATAGTGTGTAATGTGGTCAACAGGGTTAAATAGCAACAAAACCTCTGGCCTTAGAGCTGAAGGGAACTACACAGTTGGGGATGACTGTCTCTGGCCTTTTTTACATGTAGCCATTTTACCCCACAAAAAAATGCTGATTATCGCAGCTTTAAAATTAAAAGATGTATGACATACATGGTAAACATTGTAGGTGGAGGATAAGAAAGAGGCAATAGACCTTTCTCATATCACACATTTGGTTTTATCAAAGCAGTAAAAGCACAGGTGGAAATTATACCAGCTAATCAAGACTGTTCCAGTCCAATGTGCCAGAGAGTCACGTCACTGAGGCAGCAGGATCATACCAGCATGCTGAAAAATGGCACATAAGAATGGAATATTATCCATATCATGAATTAGGCCTACACCTGTTGCTCGCAAAGTAAGAATGCTAGTATAGAGGAAAAACAGGAAAAAAATAAACTACTGCTTGAGCCTTCCACACGATAGAAAAATGAACACTGCAGTAAAAACAAAGCTGCTATTCACTATATGAAGACGAAGTCCATCCTACTTTCTTTGCTAACAAAGAGTTCAATGACGCGGTTGTACAGCACACCGGTGCGGTTCAGTTCCAGCAGGAGGTCCTTCTCAATTGCCATGGATGCCAGTGATGACAGTCGAGTCTCCCCATTTGTACTTCTCGAGTATGTTTCGATGCGTTTGTGGGCCGACAATGCCCGCTCGACGGAGGCAGTCGCTACTGGGATCGTCACCGCCAAACATGCCAGTGTGTAAAGTTGACACATGCTCTCCTTCAGAGCGTTCTGCTGAAGGAAAGCAAGTAGATCAGCAGGGCGTTTTCCTTCAAAGCCAGCCATGCCATACATTACAGTCAGTTCTGTTTTAAGCCTCGTCAGGTCATCAAACAGAGATCCGTGACTCTGCGTTAGGCTGGAGAAGACCGAATCCGGGAATTTCTTCCGATATGCCTTAAACTGCTGGGGGTCGAGGAGGGAGAGAAACAATAATTTCTCGTGGTCTTTGAACCGATTTCCTATCTGGGCAACAATGTTGTCCACGATATCGCTGTGGAGTTTCTGGTACCGTGCACGAATGTCTCCCTCCGCTTGGCCTCTCCGTGCGCTTGGGGCACCTGCTACGTGTACAGTGGACTCAAAAATGTCAGCGAACCGTCCCTTTTCTTTACCAATAGTGTAACAAACATCATCCACTATTTTCAGACAGAATTGTACATCCAGTTTTTTGTTCTCTAGTACTCTAAAAAGCACATCCGAATACTCAAAAATCCCACGGAAAGTGGACAGCAAAAAAACAAACTCAAAGTTCCCCAGATGGGCTTTGTAGCCGTCGGCACAGCGCACAGATTCATCGTTGTAGTCGTCAAGGTGCTCCAAAATGTGCTCAAAAAGCTCCTGCAGGGCAGCTCTCTTTTCAAAGACTTCGTTGACCAGGTCAGAGCTACATTGCCACCGTAATGGTTCCACACGAGGAAGATGCCGCTGGCAGATGTCGTCGAGCAGCTGTGTGCAATCTGGGGTCCTGGAAAAAAACTCAGCGAGGCCATTCAGATGTGAAAAAAATGTTTTACATTCTCTCAGCTTTGAGACCCCTTGAGTCAGCACTAAATTCAGCTGATGGGCATAGCAGTGTGTAAATAAAGCCATAGGAGCCTTCTCTTTAACTTTAGCCTGCACTTCATTAAGTCCAGATGCCGTGACCGCTGCGCCATCAAAACACTGAGCCACGACTTTGCCCAGACAATCGTGGTCCTCCAGGAATCGGATGAGAAGAGCAGCAATGTCATCGGCTCTCTTGTTGCCGGTAACAACATCAAATCGGACAAACCTTTCCTTGACGCCGGTATCTGTCACATAGCGGAGCATCAGTGCCAGCTGCCCTGTATTACTCACATCAGTCGTTTCGTCCACCATAACAGCGACAAAGGGTGCTCGATTTATCTCACGTCTTATCTCCTCTCCCATCACTTCAGCTATAGCACTGATCAGGTCGTTTTGTATTTGGTCTGATGTCCCGGTAAACACTTTGTTCGTGTAAAGGTGGTAGTGTAAGTCTGTGTCGTGCTCGGCCAGAAGGGAAAGTAGCTCCACATAGTTGCCCCTATTTGTGGGCTCCTTACTTTCGTCGTGTCCCATGAATGAGAGCTCCTGTTTACCCAAAAAGATGACACAATCTATCAGTCTTTTCAGTATTTCCCTATTTTTCTTAACTTTTTCGTTATAGAGCTCCTTTTCCCTGCGAACTTGTTCGTCGAGTTGTGGATCCACTTGGTTCTGCCCAAAAGTTTTCGAAAGCACCATAGCTTGTAAGTGTCCTGTCGTGCTTTGGTGTCTTGTTGCTGCCTTGGACAGGCAACTCAGGTTTACAAATCCACCGTGGCTCCAAACACCAACACGCTCAGTTGAAAATAAAACACATTTCCAGCAATACAATTTGCAACTCTTCACAGACGCTGTCAGCCAGGAATACCGTTCGTAGTTGGTGGACTGAAAGTGGCGCACATATCCTTTTCCTTGCTTGGTCAGGTTTAGCTGTGGGGTTGGCCGGCCCTTTCTTACAATCTCCAGCTTTTCTTCAAATGTCCTTCTCCAGAAAGGCGTTGCCAGTAAATCCGCCACCAAATCCGTTTCTTCTCCTCCTTCAGCCATTGAATGTTAACAAAAAAAACAAGCTAGTTAAAGAAAAATAATCTACACCAACCAAAACGCTAAAAATGTCATGTCAAGTAAAAACTTCTTGCATATCTTTAAACCAATCAAGTCAAAGAATACGCCCAACATGTCAAACTAAAGATCTGATTGGTTGAAGACTATGACAATCAACATTTACTTAAACTGCAAAGGGATTCTGTATGATTTAAATAATTTTAAGCATTTTTACAGTCAAAATCGCTGAATTTGCACATGTCCTGTTCAAATAGAGAGGAGACACGCGAGGTGAGGCAGCGACGAGCTGTGCCTCATCTGAGATTGCGCAATCCCTCACAAACTGGGTTGAGCGCGTGCCCTTTGCTTTCTCATATTTTGTCACCACTGTAATATTTCTTAACACTTGTATTATATGTCATTTCTTTCCATAGAATAGGTCATGTATTTCACGTATGTGTAGAACATATTTAGTCGTTGCTGATCTGACAGAAACCGCAATGAAAAAGCACAGAGGGGAGGCACACAGTACCTCTGCCTCAATGAAGGGGGCGTGCGAGAGCCCACGCGTCGGGTTTATGCTTGTAGTTCCGTTACTCTTCTTCTACACTTCTCTTCTTCTTATATTTTGCTTTAACCGCAAACATTGAACATTAAATATCTAAGCTTTAAAATCAACAGCAAAGTAACCTTTTATGCGTTTGTTGCTCCCTTTATAAATCCGTGGTTGGTACACAGATTATCGCGGGATCTCGCGATTTTCGCGGGGGGCGCCCGCGAGCGCTCCGCTTCTGAAACAGGTTGGTGGGGCAGGTCGCAGCACACACGCCCCTGGTGCAATCAAATATGTACCTTACCTATGTGTGTGTAAAGAATGCCGATATGAAAAACAACCAGTAGTCAATGTGCAAGCTGCCAATTGAATGGTGATTTAAGCTACTCTATATTGGGTTCATACATTTGTAAATCTGACTCTGAAATGGTCAGTGCCTCACCAGCCACGAACCTCACCGCACGTCACTGAGTTATATAGCCTATATGGTTGTATAGGCGAGATGGCTTTAGTTGTATTTGTACTTTTGTATTAGATATTTTGAATGCAGGTTTATCATTAAAATATTACTGTATAGCTCCACTGCTTTAACCAAATCCCTACTGTTGCCTGTCGACAGAACGTTACACAGAAATCATAACGTTAAAGATGCGTTTATCCGAGCCGGGTCAAAGTAGACAAAGAGAGTGAACATATCGTTGGATTTGAAACGAAGGTTGACGTGAGTTTGACTAATTTCGGGTTTATGGGTCAGAAACAATTACGTCCTGGCTACTTTATAACTGGAACGTTACTTCCCTCTCGGAAATAAAACTCACCGTCCATATTCATGTTTTCGCCGACTTCACGAAGAAAACGGTGGGAAATCCTACACTTTCTAACTGCAGAAAAACTGTTCACCACATGTGTTTTGATTCTCACACGAGTTCACTTCCTGTTCCTTCTTCTTCTGTCCCTTCTCCTAAACGGCAGACTCTCCGCCGCGAGGCGCACTGGTGCCCTCTACAGTCTACACCACGCATCACAAGCCCTTTCTAATTAGTTTCTGTAGATTTAAGACATTTTTAAATATCCTGATGCGATTGCCAGCCTTTTCAAAATAAAATAATATATTCCCGTATCGTTTTATCAAACTGTACTGGTGCTGTCATTCACACCCTCTACATTCAGTAAGTCCTGTGCTCTTTTCACTCTTCCAAATTTCTGTGTGTTTGACATGTTTCTATAACTCGCAATTGAATATTGAAATTATGCTCAGTTAAACGTGTTACAATATTCAGGTAACTGGTGCAGCACTAAGTTTCT